CAACGTGATCGCCGTCGTCGTGCGAGGTTGAAAGAGCGACATCAAGTTCGTGTAGCGTCGGGTCAGCGTATGCCTGAGCTTTCGGTAAATGATGGTGAGAAGCCCGAAGAGAGTACAGCAGTCAACGGAGAGCATGCACAAGAGCCGGAGAATAAACCGGAATGTAGCTCCCCCACTGCTGAAGTTCAGGTTTCGGAGGGCGAAGATGTTGCAGATAGAGCGGCCAGCATGCTCCAAGGTTTGCGAGAGAACATGGACTCCGATACGGCTCGTGCTCGGCGACGAGACAGCGCTGAAGAGGCAAGAAGGAATCGAAGAATGAGGAGGCGAGTAGCTGGGACCGCCACAACTAAAGAAGGGAGCCACAATGATTCTACTCCGTTACCACCAGTTCCGGAGCCAGAAGTCCCCGACGATACTGCTACAGTTGAAAAGCACAATCCAGAGTCGCCTAGCGAGCCAGAGCCATCCAAGCCCGACGAGCCAGCGACGGAGCTTGCCCCGACTCCAGACGAGATGGAGAAAAAAGAAGAAACTTGATATTTTGTTTTTTTTTTTGTTTTAAGGGTCTTGTAAAACACCACTCTTTTGTCGCTGCGGTAGATTTCATCATACACCTTATATCCTCGTTTGCATGAACGTTACGCACTTCTCTTTTCTTATTCGGACATTTTACGGTTCTACACATGTTTGGTCTTCAGCATAGGTTTCTATTTGACGCCTTGTATTATGTGAGCGCGAGACATGTGCCTTTACATCTCGCGGCTAAACTCGCCCCGTGTATCTTTCTGGTTGAGTTATGGAGTCTTTTTTTCCTGGTTAATTGGAGGGTTGAGTGCTTGACTATTTGGTATCCATGTTCCCCCACCGTTTGATTAATTTTCTTTTTTACTTTTTTCTTTTATTTTCTTTTTTTTCTTTTTTTATTTTTTTTCCCCTTTGAGTCTTGTTGAGCTTTAGCCGCTGGGGCTTGGTTCTTATGTTGCATGTTGGAAGGGATTTGCCCTTATAGACGAATCGTTATCATGAGCGCGACAGATATTAACTGGTTTACAAAAGAAGGCTGACGCGGCGATTAATTAATATTAATGTGAGACTTTTCTCTTTCTCCCAAATCTGTTTCGTGTAAGCGACGACCACATGAGCCTTATGACAGGTTTCCTGGGGTGAATATGGCCAGGGATGGCACTTTTCGTGTCTGGAATTTTAAATCTCGAGACACTTAGTCGCGGACATAGGATGATGATAATCCTCAATTGACATCAACCAAGATCTACCTCGCTTTGCGTTGCTGCTGGTGCGAGCTTGCCCCTCGACATCAAGCGAATCGGCATGGGTAGAAATTTATCTCCGCGATCGTTTGCAGGCATCACATGTTGTGTGACATGGGAAGCCATGTGCTTTTAAGCCCCGGAACCAAGTTCCAGAATTCATATCCCCGGCGCTCCTTCGAGATTCTATTAAGTCCCCAGTTCGTCCGGAGTACTCTGTACTCCCTGACTTAATCAAGACGAAGCGAAGGCTCCCCGCTCCATTGTGTCCCACCATGTGGCCCTGCCTGCATGAACAAATGTCCTTATTAACATCAGCCAATTGAGATCCACCCCTTTTTATCACGCTAGTTAGCGAGACAAAAGCTTAGGCAAAAGTGCTCGGGTGAAGATGTGGGCAGCTTGATCCCAGAGGATGTACCCCGGATCTCTTGTTAAGGATCCGAGGCCCCTTGCTGATCTTGCATCCCCAGCAGCAAATGACAAATGATACCTTCAAGTTTGAGCGGCCTCCTGGCTGCGCGAGGAGAAGGATTGACAGCGGCTAATGAGCTAAGTGGGGAAAGGTTGTTCTAACATTTATTTTCTCGCGTTGAGAGGCCAGTCGGGCCGGTGGGGTGCCGTGTTTTGTTCGATTCTCGTGCATGATCCTCGCTGGCAAATGCGAGCAGTTACGGGGTACGGAGGACGGAATACATGTGCATGTTGTCCGTTGCTGGCGAACATCGAGTGCTCTGACCTTGGCTGCATGAGAAAATAACTGTGTAATTCTAGGGGCTACGGTGCACCGCATATCGAAGACATACCGAGTTAACGAGCCCACCCCGTACGATCGTCACGATGAGCAGCCAGGTAACTTGTCGAAGTAACTAGTTGCGAAACCGAGACAATGATTAATGACACCGGGCTCCTTGACGTTGTCTTCACGTTCCTCATCTGCCTGGACCACCACAAAGTGAGAACGTCTTAACGGCTTTCCCTGCCCTATATTCGCACCCGGACCGGTGGCTTGGTTGTCATTGCACGTCCCAAGAGGAGAATATTGCTTCCCATCGGACATACCTTTAACGGCCAGCGTGTTTAGCTCTTCATTTCCGCCGCCTCTCCACATCTGAATAGGTTCGAATTCTTATGGGTGGAGCGGCTACAGGAAAAAGTTGACACAATCGATGTATTTTTTCAATATTTTTCTCCTTTTTTACATCTTCATGCTAGCTCGCTAATTGTAACACTAGCACCCGCTTTGCTTCGCCATGCGGGAGACGACATTTTGGCTCTTTTGCACTTCTCCCAACCCTAGCCATCAAACAAGAAACAAAGTTCAGTTAGCAGCGCTGATGAAACATGCTGACATGGATTTTGATCTCAGTTCCTGACATAATATTTTTCTTTCACCATCAAGATTCCTGTTTGGTGCATAACTACCGACTATAGCGCCTGTAAGAGCTATTTGCCAGGTTGACCCTGGTTTACTTCCCACGTTAATCCCAGCCTGACTGGTTTGACTCGATCGAAGACACGACAGGCACCTGATGTCCGAAAAATGGCGGGAATCTCAAATAAGTCTTATCTCTTGTCCTTTTCATATCAGCCGCCCGACACCCCGGCGGATCGAACCCACCTGTACACAATTAAACAGTGGAGTGGATTGATGCTGAATGTATTCCCATAATCAGCTTATTCGATGTGTACAACCGAGAAGTGTCTTCGCCTCGCATTTCTAGGCTCGGCTCTCGCACATGGAGCCACTCGATTAGACCTCTCATGAGGCTCGCGAAACTCGTCCTTTTTTATAGCCGTCCGTCCTGATACGGCCCGCCATGATAGTCGTCACTGGGCCTCCCCCAGACGGAGACGTCAATAGAGGCAATGCGATCACGATCATAATGTGGGTGGAATTTAGCATTGCGTTGGTGCTCATCTTGTCGCGAATATTTAGCCGGACAAGACTGAACAGATCCTGGGGTTGGGACGATGCCTTCATGTGTTTCGCTATGGTATTACTCTTCAGCATCTGATACAACCACCGATCTGACCGTCTCTCAAGGTTAATGCGACGGCGCAATCCGTTCTACTCACTCTCAGCGTCAACCACGGCACCGGGCGACATGAATACTATCTTATTGCATACGACAGGGTGCTCGCCAATAAATTCAACTGGATATCTCAAGGTTTACACGTAATGTCGACAAATTGGGGAAAGGTATCCGTCGCATTGTTCCTCCTCCGAATGGTCGACAGAGCAAAAGAACAAAGGATAGCTTTTTATGGAGGAATGGTTCTGCTCACTATTGTTAACGTCCTCTGCATATACTCACTCTACAGGCAGTGTAATCCCACTCGATTACTCTGGGACTCTAGTGTCGAAGGAACATGCTGGAATCCTTCGATTCAGCGGAGTTATGCTATTTTTCAAGGATGTAAGTTTGGATCAATCATGATTTTGCGGGAAGAATATGTGGTGGTTTAACCGACGTGATCTAGCATTCTCAGCTTTTTCCGACCTTCTCCTTGCGATCTATCCAATTTTTATACTCTGGAAGTCGCGAACGGAATTAAAATTGAAAATTGGGCTCGGTTGCGTTACAGCACTTGGGATATTGTACGTCCACTCGAACCCCTTATTTCCAGTCAATCCTAATGCAAAATCTAGTGCTATGATCGCTGCAATCATCAGAACGATTTTCGTCTCCCTGCTATCGAAACGAGATGATTATACCTTCCACAGTGTCCCTCTGGCTGTATGTATCACCACAGAGCAATATTTAATCATAATCGCCGCATCTATCCCCACGCTGGGACCTTTAGTCAATGCCCTTCTCAAAAGAACATCCTCTTCCTCCCCATACCGTTCCAATCATCCGCTTTCTCGAATATCTGGTCGACCAAACCATGAGCGGTCCCGTGGCGGCCGAAATAGAAGTCGAAGCGGGAAAATGATTCTTACATCCACAAATGCTCAGGTTTACCCGCTCAGTGAATACAAAGGATGGATAGGACCTAATGGGATTAATGGCAGTGGGGGGAGTGACGAGGCTATTCTCCCTAGCCAAAACATAGAGCCAGGCTGCATAATGAAGACTATGGAAATCCGCGTGAGTTCTCGGGGCGACGATAGGTCAGAGAGCGATATCTCCCTGTCACCAGAATTGTCGAACGAGGTATGAAAGGAAATACATGAAGCATTTAACGGTATTTAGCGAGGGATTAATGGTTCAATGGCGTAAAGGGCGAGGCTATTGGCTCTAAGGATGGTTGTTTTGTGGAAATACCCATATGTATGCCTAAATTATTTTTCCCGTCATTGCACAAGATGCTCTGTATTCTTGGTCCAGTTGCGATGAAATTGGGTGAATCCAGGATGCTTTCTATTCTCACTAGCAGGGGATGGGAGCTTTGACCTTTTCTTTTTTTTTTTTTTTTGGATGTCGGACATCCATGAACACATTGACCTACTAACTAACTACCGAAAAGAAACCCTGAGACACAGACCCATAACTATCTATGCCAGTGAGCTTGGAAATGCGGCCCGGTGATATAACAAAAGGAAGAATTTAACACCGTGTAAAACCACCTGTATCTCGCTTGGCTTTAAGCCCCCGACGGCTGGTCCGCTCCGCTCCGCCTCGTTCCGCCCCACGCCCAGCGGGCTTCGCCGCCGAGATCTCCACCGTGAAGTGTGTATCGATATACCCAGCTGCGGGTTGAGAAAATAGTTTAAGTCGGCAGAAAGGGCCCCAACCAGCATTGAATGTCACAAACAAGGGGCGCAAATGGCCTTGGTTTGGTGGACATGGTTACACTTTGCTATTCCTTAGCCTGATTGATGCGTGCAGGGTTGGCTGAAATTATAGAGCAATTCGCTACAATAGCCATTCATTTGGTTGATGCCTCACAGCTTCCCGTCCGCATTGATTTCCAAGTCAGCGTGTGCTACGGAGTGCTCGGTTCGTAATTTGCGCACACATGTTCCTTGAGAACACCCTCATAAATATTCTGACAACATCATCTTCCGTCAAGGCCACAAAACCGGGGAGAAACAAGGAGAATAGATTTCAGAGTGGCCCGGAGACCTGCCTCACATGCGGATAAGACACAGCACAATGTGGGCTGACCCAATCCGCATTTTTTGAGCCGAGGTCGGGCTTGTGTGATACGACCTCACCACCAAAAATGTGAAGGAATTTCGAAGATAAGATGGGAACATTTCCCGTTACCAGATCAATCCGTGGTTCAATAGTTAGGACCTCGATGCAAGAGACATTTTCATTTGACATCATGGCATCCCCGATGGAGCGTCTCATCACCAGCTTGACTAAAGGCGCCTCCGTGGAGACAATATGGACCAACATTACCGGCTCGTTTTCCCCGGCGGGCATTGAATTCTTCGGCACCCTCAGCGTCCAGCTTGTCACCTTCTGGCTCCCATCACTCTTCTTCCTGTCCCTGGATATCTGGGCACCGTCCTTCTCTAACCGACACAAGCTCCAGCCCATCCCCAAGCAACCGACGAGCAAGGAAATCAAATCCTGCGTTCTCCTCGTCCTGCGGAACCAAATCATCAATTCCATCCTACACATCATCCTCATCTTCATCTCTCCGCAACGCCCCTACCGAATCGAACCCTCACTCCCTAGTCTCCCCGAAATCGCCCGGGATTTTATCATCTGCCTCCTAATCCGCGAAGCCCTATTCTACTACAGCCACCGGCTCCTCCACCACCGCATCTTCTACGCACGAATCCACAAGCTTCACCACCGTTTCACCGCGCCAGTCGCACTCGCAGCCCAATACGCGCATCCGATCGAACACATCGTCGCGAATGTCTTGCCCATAACGCTCCCACCGGCGCTACTAAAGAGCCACATCTTGACCTTCTGGACGTTCCTTGCCTACGAGCTGTCCAATACAGCACTTGTCCACAGTGGATATGATTTCTTCAGCGGGATAGCCAAGATGCATGATTTGCATCATGAGAAATTCAATTTGAATTATGGGTCAATTGGATTACTAGATTGGTTTCATGGCACGGATAAACTGCACAAGCGCACGGAATGATTGACATTATTTACATGTATATATGAGTCAATATGCGAAGTATATATGAGGAGCAGAGAGCTATTGGGGTAGGGGGAAGTCTTCACAGGTCCAGAAATTGGTGAAAAGTTAACTGGATAGTTAACTTATAGCTAGAGCGGAGCGCGGAAATACTCATTGCATTATCGAAAACCTCACCATTTCTCCACAGGCTTCTTCATAGGCAGCCGGACTGTCCAATCAATCTCTCTCCTCAGGATGACAAAATAAACTCCATTTCTTGGGGTAAAGATTTACCCGAACCACGGGCGTGGATGTGTGGCGAACCATGGGGTTGGGGCCCCAGAGTTGGGGTTCCTTGCTCCAGAAACCCAGGCATTAGTTTCTGCGCAGGCGGCTGAGGCGAGCAGCAACCAATGCCCATTGCGTTCCCTCACGATTCCGGATACATCGGATAGAAAACTAGTTAGGGAATGAAATGACATGAAGACATCGAGTTCAGAGAGGGCCGAACCCGGTTGTAAAAGATACATACTGACTAACTATACACTTGGTAATTCTGCAATATTCACAAAAAAATTTTTTTTTTTTTTTCGTTTGAGTGACTATCCTGTTCCTCATAGAAAGCAAATTCCTAACAAAAACGGAGAAAAGAAAAGGAGAGTACGAACATATACTCGCCATATTAAACAGTCTTGAAGTTGACCGGCCCAGCCCATTGCCTTAGTCTCTTGCCAAATATTTGCAGGAAGATAATCATCACAAATGCAAAACCACAGATACCCCCCATTGTGCCAAATTGTCTAATGGCGCCCTGCTTCCCTGCCCATTCAACCATGAAATAACTCACAACAAATCCGCCAGTCGTACGGGCAAAGTTGATCCAAGCTGCAACTTCACCGGATGCTTCTGGGTAGCTGTCGAGCACATATGCATTCACAGCGACAGTTGTGATCATGATTCCGAAGACGTAGAGGCCCCAACCGAGGGAAGCAAGCATGTAATGGTATCCTCTCTCGAGCGCAAATCCGAGAAGGACCGTGCCAGAAATCAAGAACGGTGTAGAAACCCAAGTAGCTACGTAACGTGCTTCTGGTTCAAACCGGCCATGGTTCCTCTTGGAGGCGACTCTCGCTATCATATCGTGAAGCCAGTGGCCTGCAATTTCGCCAAGGATAGCGCCGACAACTGGTGTAAAGTAGAAGAAACCTGTGACGTCGCGTAAGCTCCGAGTTCGATGGAATCAATTGAGGACAAATGCTTACCAATTTGTTTTGGCCCAAAGTTATAGAGCGGGCCCAAGAATATTGACAACGTAGTATTGATGCCAACAACCCACGCGAAGGTAAACAGGTAGTATAACATCGAGATCAAAACTGGCACCTTGGAGATAACGATGACAGGACGCATCATGGCATCCTTAAAGGTGTTTCTCGTATGGCGACTTTGCCACTGTTCGATACCGATCATTCGCTTCCATCTACTGACACGCGGCGGTTGCTGGTCCTCCGGGATCTTTCGATCATAATAAGTTTCATCCACAAAGAGAATCGCCGCAATAAGGCAGAGGCCAGTTATGATTGAATATACACCGAAGGCCCATTGCCATTTCTGGGTGTTGATGATAAAAGCTGTGAGTAGAGGCCCCATATACGGCGACACGATGATAAAGCTTGACCAGATATTGATTTTTCGCGCGTGCTCGTGGAAGAAGAACATGTCTTTGATATACATAAGACCACCCTGAGTATGTAATTAGTGTCGGCGCGATGGATCATGCGGCAGATTTTTCCTTACCCCTTGCATAACTGTGGAAAAGAAACCGTTGAGAATTCTAGCGGCCTGTAGGGTAGTAGATTAGCATAATGCACATCACACTTATTGCATCAAAGTGCATTTACCATGAAGGATTCAAACGTCAACGCTGCAGCACACCAGATTGCAGTCGCCAAAGCAATGACCAAGAACCAGAACAAGACAGGATATCTTCCAAAGTATGCGGAAAAGGCGACAACAAAAACACCACCAGCACCCAACATGAAGACATTCCCTACTTGAGAGTGGTTCACCTCATCTTCCGTCATCCCCCATATTCTGTAATCCGAAAATATGTCAGCATATCGTTCATTAGTCTCCTGATTTGAAAAAAAAAGGGCTCTTACTTGGCTTGGGGGATAAGAGTGACAGCTCCTGTGGCACTTCCATAATCAGGCAAGAATGCCGTTGCAGAAATGATAGTCAGGATTAGAGCCTTCTTGAAATTGGACCAGTTCAGCGGGTCAGCAGACGAGCTGCTAGGCTGGGGAATCAAGACTGTATGTCCATCTTTCGCCGTCATCAATTCTGTAGTTCCGATCTGAGCTGCGTCAAGCACGTAGCCATCCTTCTCACCAGCGGCTTCGAGGTCGACAGAGGCACCATTACTTGCAGCTGGTTTCTCCCCCCGGACGGAGTCCTCGTCGGAAGAGGTCTTGCCTACACTGTCAGGCGCCATTGTCGTTTCGCAACCGTCAACAAAAGTTAGGGTATCAAACAAGAACAGAGTTTCACAGGCCGGGGTAGATCAGCGAAGGCGAAGCATTTTGAGAAAAAACTACGCGGGGGAACCCCAGGATAATTAAGAGAAATTAAATCAAGGAACAAAACCCGGGGGGAGGGGGAACCCAAGGGCAAAAGAACCCCGGCTGGCGTCCAAAGAGCCCATTATGGACAACTCTCTCTGGCTTCCGGAAGCAAGGAAAAAGAACGCGTATCATAATCAATTGTCAGCGTTTGTCAGGGGTGGATATGGAAACCGATCCATTGCCCCATGCCCACTGGATTGAACGCCAAGAGAAGGCTTCAAAGTCTTAAGCCTGTGTCTGGCTGCGGTTTGTCGACTGTTCGCTTCAGGCTAAGCTCAACCCCAATCTGGAAATATGGAGATGTTGGATGGGTCTGCCATGGATATATCCACTCCGTCCACGATTCGAAGTCGTGCGCCTGGGGAAAAGCATTTTTGCATATGGGTCCTCGTTAACTTAGCGTTTCGGCTTATCTCCTCCTAGGTTGTTAGTCTACTTGATTTTTCGACAGGAAAAAAAAGATGCTGTGTGCCAAGATAACGTAAGTAATAAGTAAGTATCGTTCGTGGCATGTTATCCCAGTTGCGAAGCAATTTACCTCCTGTTACCTGACGGTGTCACCCTAAACCCAGACTTGTAGCTGGTTCATATAAGATGGTACTACGAGCCCAGCCTGTTTATGCCGCAGTTCGTTAACTATCGTTGATATCGGTAGAAACAAGCAGTCGAGCACCATGGGTTCTGTCCTTTCCTGTAGTAAATGTGATGAAGGATCATGACGGAAGAGCAAGGTAGCTTTGAGGACAGAGCTGAATACCCAGCAATAAAGTGGGAAAACACAAGCCGGCGTGTAGCACTCCAAAGTCTTCAATGAGAAAAAGCTGTCGGATGCCGGGGCAGCGATACCATGAGCTCATCTCACTTACTTTTCAACAACCATAATGATAACGGCAACAACATGAGCCATTAGTGACCTCATCATGGAATGTATTGTGAGTTCAATGTCCGTGATTCGGATATGTCCTGTTTTTGCTAGTACGTACATAGTTACAATGAATCAGGCTTTTTGCTGGATTACCCATGCCAGCATGTTGCCAATGTTTAGGTAGTTTTCAGGACATTCTAGCAGCTCTGGAGCCCTTTTTCACCCCACAGTTTGCCTTTCTCTACATGCTGGGGGACCCAGCTTGTTAGCTACCAAAGCTCTGTTGGTTAAACTTTCTTCTCGGGAGAATAAACACCCGCCGCAGCCACTGATGGAGGACTCGTATGCTTGTTATTTACTAAGCTACCTAAATGGGGATTTCGTCTAACTAATCCATGTGGGTTACATGAGCGAGGTGCTAGTTGGATTACCGAACAGCCACGAACATTCGAGCAGGCTGACAACAAAGCTGAAGGACGTGAAGTCGCCCTGCCAGTATGGAACACCCCTCAGTACAGGGTAAACTTGAATACATCTTCTTATCATTGTGTTTCGCTGCATCCATCGAGCCCATATGCACCAGCTATCCTCTTTAGGGAACGTGTGTTGCAAATGTTGTGACGTGGGAATTAACGCTGTTCTCCGACTGGTGTTTAGCTCATGATTGACTGGTGGGTGAGATGAGTCTTAAAGCACATGAGGGATTTGGAAATTGTAAAGCTGCATGATATGGGTGATTGAAGACAACTTGATATTTGTTCAAACTATTTTGATGCTGTGAGCAGAATGGCCTATTCATTCCTCTTGACATTCCACTTTCTTCAGGTTGCTACTGCCTTCATCTGATGCAGACGATCCATTTTGTGGTGATGGTGATGAGGGTGAGCATGGCTCCCGGTCTTCTCTTTGGTGTGTCCAAAATACTCACTTGCAAAGTGTTTGTGTTTTGTATCCTTCTCTTTATCTTTCTCCTGGATGTCTTCGTCGTCCTCATCTTCCTCTTCGATTTCAAATGCAGGCCATCCTTCCCATCCATCCTCCCACATCCTGGCCAATTTTTCTGCCTTCTCCTCTCTCGACAACCGCTTATTTTTCATGACCTTTTCCCAACGGGCCATATCAGCATCATCCAAAAGACACTCGTTCAGCAGAGAAGTGATCTTGTCTACATCTATGCCTTCCCCGATGAACACGAGCTCCTGGCGCCGGTCACCCCACTGGCCTTGAAAGTCGTTTTCAATGGCTTTGCGGACATCCTTATCCTCTGGCCAGGCTTCGTCGGGCACTTCAGCAAACCAAGGTCCTCCACAGCTCACCGTCAGCATCCCCCCCGCCTGGCTCCATTCCCCAAACTGAAGGGGGCGAGTCGCCAGCCAAAAGAATCCCTTCGAGCGTAGAACAGGCCCAAATGCATGTGCGCGTTTATTCGCAAGGATAACTGCAGGATCAGGCTGTTCGAAACCTTGTACGCTTTGGGTCTCCATATCTTCATCCTCGTCCTCAGACATAGGATCATTCTCGTCGATCTCCATTTGGTCCTTGTTTTCGTCATCATTGTCCTCTTGCTCTTCTTCCTCCTCTCCCTGCTGAAGAAGGATGAATTTGTCATGAAGAAGAGCAAAGAGCCGACGCGGGTGAAACGGTCTCCTAGCGGTATATACAAAATTGTTAATTCCGTACCTGGGTGCCAAGTCAGCATTCGTAGCAGGAGATTGTGTTAAAGGGAGGAAGAGACGAACTCCAGGGTCTCCGGTTTAGGTGCCATCCTCTTTCCCTGATCAGTATTCATAACCGTCATCTCGTGCAGACTTTTCAACCAGCCCGAACCCGAGGCTGCTTTGAGAAAATCAAATCTCTTGGTTCCGATAATCTCGCGTACATCGACCTTCGAGTAACTGGATTCTAGGATTTTCGCATCAGGGTTCAACAACTTCACGAGTTTCCTAATCCGACCTCGGGTTTCTTCATCAACGGTCTCGATCTTATTGATAATCACAACATCAGCGAACTCGATCTGATCTACCATGAGATCGGAGATGGTGCGTTCATCCTCAGGAATGATTTCCTTGGAACCATAGCGATCGGAAAGAAACTCTGCTGTGTCGAAACTCGATAGAAGATTGAATGCATCAATTACAGTGACTGTCGTGTCAAGGCTTGCTAAATTGTGAAGCCCTCCGAGCTCGGCACTGCATTCAGAAATAAGGCCGGTTAGCAAGGGGCGGCTCTGGCAGTGGTGAGCTCAAATGAAACTCTTACATCTCGGAGAGGATCTTCCTGCTATCCTCATCGGTATCCATGATCTGATCCTCAGCTTCAAGCATTGCCGCGCTAAACTCCGCAGTGAATGTTTCCGCCACTTGCATCGGCTCACTAATACCAGTACTCTCAATGACAACGTATTCCACTTCTTTCTGTTTTGTGAGGCGCGCAAGCTCCGAGAGCAAATCCCCACGGAGCGTGCAACAGATACAACCATTTTGGAGCTGGATGAGTTTCTCTTTCGTCTGAGATACTTTATGATGTGTGATGAGGGCAGCGTCGATATTAAGTCTGTTGAAGTAACCCAATTAGCCCGGAGTGTCTTGCATTGAAATAGGGTGCAAACTGACTTGCTCATATCATTGACAATCACAGCTATGCGAAGTCCATGGTCTGGCGATTTGAGGATATGCTCCAACAGCGTGGTCTTTCCACTTCCCTAATATCAAGAGTGTTAGAATGCATGCCTACTCACGGGAGCCCCGACCCCGACGCTTACCAAGAACCCTGATAGAAGGGTAACAGGCAGCCGTCTGGCTTCTTGGCCCTGTGTCCCTCCAGCTCCATCTTTGGGCTCTGGTGAGCGATGGGCCGCAGGTCTTTTCTCTGAGTCAACTTCCATCTTACTATCGTTAGTCAATTGCAAGATATGTAGCAAAATGAAGGCGAGTTTCGAGATTTTCACCTCAGGGCTAAAGGCCCTGGCATCCTTGCCGTTCTTATACGGCCTCCAAGTTACTCATTCTTCCGCCTACAGAGAACAAGACACGACCTATTATCTGATTCAAATGCAATACCTGCAGCTTTCTGCAAATTCCTCCAAAGGTACATTGTAATTGCTCACTTATGATTGGATGTGGAAGTTTGATCCCAAGGGGTAACTTGGAATGACGCTTGATCTTCCCTATCAAGGTCCCCATTTCCTCAGGAGAAGGAACTATGCGACACAATCCGCTCCGCTCATCGACCTCTCGGTGAGACGGCCTGCGGCCGTGCAAAAGTTTTGATTTGCGGATTTATGTGGAAGCAGAACTAGCAAGCGTCCCTCGGAACATTAAGGCGAGTTGAAGCTGTAAGCGGTCAAGCATGAGCTACCTCCAATTCCAGCTCGAACAAAAATGGACGAACTAGTAGATAGTAGCAGCAATGGCAGCTTCACATATAATTACCAAGTGCACCCAGAATTTAAGAAGCTCGAACAGCAATCGTTTCTACTGTTGGAAGCTTCTTGGTTTCCCCTCTGAAGATATTGTAAGTGTCTTTGGGTGAATTCGGCAATCAATTTTTCGGGACACCAAGTTCTTACCGCTACCTATGCGGTCAACTTTTTGATTAGAACTGACATGAATGGGACGAAAACAACAATCCATCCAATCTCGGACAACGGCATAAGAACCACAGTGTAGTTCTTTGGAGATGGTGATTTCTGCAGAGAATTCTTGAACATCCGGTAGGCTGTGAGCCATTAACTAACAGGCTTCAACATCCGGCGCTGGCTGGATTTCTTTCTAGGGAAATGATGGATGGAGTGGGCATCTTGCTGGCCAGGGCCCCGGTTGACATTTAGAAGTTCGATTCATTCGAACGGGATCAATTAACTCGTACAGTATCAGTCGCGCAGTGACCTAACTAAACCTTAGAAGGTGTGACGCGGTTAGATTCATTTAAAAAACTTTTTCTGATGTGTTTGCTAGCGGAGGCTGTTCATCTCGGTAATGAATCCGAGCTTGTTGTGATGATGAGAAACCGAGTTTGACAGCAGCATTCTAGGGCCAATGGGCATGCCCACGTGACTCTAAACTTACGCCCATACAGCCGCATCCGCTGCCTTTTTCACGAACGAGATTGTTTTCGTCTCAGTCATTTCCATGAGATTTCTCATTGCGTATGCGAAGAATTCCCGGTTTTCTACTCCGTCGAGTATTGTCTTCCCGTCCGCTATGGACTCCGTTCCCCTACCAAAGGATTCTCAGCGGGACAATTCCCGGAAAAGGCCACCCGTCACCCGCTAGGAACCTCGCTACGACGCGGTCACCTCTACATCCTACGGATGGAGCTCCTGCAACGATATACGCTTTATCCACAGCACCAGGAAGAGCTGCAATAGCTATTGTGCGGGTATCTGGCCCTGCTTGTGTACAGGTATGACGAGCATCCGTATTTCCGCGAAGCTTCTTTTTGCTGATTTTCGCAATTCTAGGTATACAAAGGCTTGTGCCCCGGATCTCCTCTGCCAAAGCCACGGTATGCTACTCTTAGAACATTATGCGATCCAACGCAATCTCCATCGTCGAATGCGGTTCTCGATTCAGGCGCCTTGGTCCTATACTTTCCGGCCCCAAAGACTGTAACAGGTGAAGACGTCCTTGAATTACACATCCACGGCAGTCCTGCAGTGATTAAAGCGGTGCTCAATGCAATACCTAAATGTCTAGAGAACAAAATCGAGACCGGGCTAGAGTCATGCATCCGGTACGCTGAGCCAGGCGAATTCACTCGCCGAGCCTTTCTCAATGATCGCCTCGATCTTCCGCAGATTGAGGCATTAGGCAATACTTTAGCAGCCGATACCGAGCAGCAGCGGCGTCTAGCTATCAGGGGTACAAGCGATACTCTGTCTGCAAGATATGAGAATTGGAGGCAACAGTTGCTGTATGCTCGAGGCGAGCTGGAGGCGCTAATTGATTTTTCTGAGGACCAACATTTCGATGAATCTGTAGATGATTTTATGATTTCCGTCACGGGACAAGTTCGAAAACTGCTAAACCAGATCGATGTTCACATTGAGAATGCCTCGAAAGGAGAATTGCTGCGAAGCGGAATCAAAATCGCATTGCTTGGTGCCCCTAACGCCGGAAAGAGCTCGCTGCTAAATCGAATTGTGGGGCGAGAAGCAGCAATTGTTAGTAGCGAAGAAGGAACTACTCGTGACATTGTTGATGTTGGCGTTGACCTTGGCGGTTGGCTTTGCAAGTTTGGAGATATGGCGGGACTGCGGTCAGCGCCACCTAAGCTCATTGGTGAAGAGCGCAAGGATTCTACTGTTATTGGAGAAGTGGAAAGGGAAGGTATACGTCGAGCCAAGGCGCGAGCATTGGAGTCAGATCTTGTTATCGCAGTTTTGTCACTTGAGGAGAACCAGCATGGCTCCGCGCTAAAGCTGGAAGCTGAGGTGGTTGGCGCGATTGAGGATTGCTTGCGTCTCGACAAGCGAGTGGTCGTTGCGATCAACAAAACTGATAGGTTAAACTCGGATGTTACTAGTCGGCAATACTCGAACGTGGTGGAAAGGATTTGCTCCACGTTCCAGGGACTCGACAAAAACCGAATTTACGCAATTTCCTGCAAGGATGCGCAGGATGGGTCTCCCGACCGACGGGACCCCGGTAATATACAAAACTTCCTAAGAGGCTTAATTCACACATTCGAGGAAATGGCAATGCCCTCTCGATCAGAAGATGAGGATAATCGTTATGACCTTTCTTATTATCAGGACTCACTTGGAGTCACGCACCGACAAAGTTCTAATCTAAAAACATGCGCCCAACATCTAAGAGACTTTCTATCCCAAACCGTGCAAATCCAACACGCTAATATCGCAAGTGACAACAATAATGCACAAACTCCGGAAAATGCGCTCGCTAAAGGTCAAATGTTTGACGAAAACGAAGTTGATATCGTGTTGGCGGCAGAACATTTGCGATTTGCGGCGGATTCGCTAGCGAAGATTACCGGCCGCGGCGAAGGTGGTGACGTAGAGAGTGTCTTGGGAGTAGTGTTTGAAAAGTTGGTTTCCTTTTTGCGTCGTTCTCCATTTTTGCCCAAATGTTAACTGACATGAAATTCGAACAGGTTTTGCGTAGGAAAATAATCGCCGGAGGAGGAATTGAACCCGATCCACAAAGTTGACCGAAACGCCTAGCCATTCTATATCGTACAATCCCGTAAAAGTTTCCGTCTCTTCAACTAAATTCTGGAAAAAGGATCTCTAGAAATGGTTCGAAACACGTCCTGCGCTGTTTCGACATATTTCGAAATACTCATTGCTCGTGTTTCGGATATCGAGGCGCATATGAGTCCTCATCCGTGTCGTGAATGTCGTTGTATCCGCCTCTACCCTGTCGATTCACGGGCTGTGTTGAACCAGAAGTCTGGTTGGGTCCATTGTAGCCGCCACGACCCATTTTGTTTGATTTGTTTCCGAAATGAAGATAAAGAGCGGAATATTGAGAGGCTGAGCCTTTTTTTTTTTTTTTTTTTTTGGGTGGTAGAGCTTTGGTCTCGAAGGCGCGAAAGATTTGGCGTTTTGTTCTTGCAATTGACTTAGTTGTATCCGCCACGCCCCATGTAGGGTTTATATAGAATAAAGCTCTTTCTCTCCGGTTGAGATTTTCTGCGGATGGTTGCCTGAGGGCAGAGCGAAGGAGCCTGGTATTTATGCGTGCGACTATAAAGCGAACTTGTTTCGGAAACGTAGGGAGAAATAAAGATGTTGAAACAAGTAAAGACTGAAAGGTTGGCTGAATATGAGGACAAATAGTATTAAAATTTGTAGCCAGAAAAAGAGGTCTTGCTTGAATGAAGCCGATGAAAGATGGAATTTGGAACAGGCAGAGAGAAGGGATGAAGGAGGCTTATATATCCGAAAGCATTGATTAGAGCCTCTCTCCTTGAAAATATTAATGACAACGGGTAGAGAACCGTAGGATGCATGGAACCAACTCCTCAGCTCGAATCCATTGCCCCGTGCACAGGCACAGTCACGATTCGTTTCCGGTACACACAGCATGCAGATTCTCCCTTGAGAGCCCGGGGGCACACCTGTAACAGACCCAATAACGGGGGCTGCCCATTGAAAAAAAAAAAAAAAAAAAAAGAAGAGAGCATAAGGGTCGACAAAATAGACCCCTATGACACAAAGCAGAGAGATCCCAGTCCAAATCTTTCAGTTTTGTCTCACCCTCATTGTTGCTTTCTTGCCTTTCCTGGTTCTCTCTTTTCAACCCCCGTTGTTGTTTTCCCCTTGGCCCTTTGTTTAAAAACAGTGGCTGATGAGTGAAAGCGAATCAGATCCTACAGATACGATCCAGACGATTGTCTCAGGTAGGTAAAGAGGGGAATACCGAGGAAATTCGGGCAGTGACTGGACGAAAGGTTCCGAACGAGCGAGTGGGCCATATGGGATTTCCGGGAAACCAGCCACGCAGGGTTCAGATCTGGATTGAGGACATCTTGTGCTCCGAGGAAAGAGGTCAGGATGGGGACATGGCTTAGCACATTTTCAATGCATTAATCTCCTTGGTAAGGGTCTCGTGTCTATGATTCATCGTTGTTGTTGCCTGCGTGGGCTGGGCCAATCTACGATGCGCAATTACAACGAAGATGATCTACCATACCGAGGGATATGCTTTAGCAGTGGGGCGAGGGCTGTTCAATTTTAAAGTTTGGCTTTCACCCCAATGTATCTGTGCATTCAAATGGCAGTTTGCAGACACTGATTTATTATTTGCAGGTTCGGGTGCAGTCAGAGTGAGGAATGCGAACAGTTGGTTGGTGCAGTCTTTCCTTCGACCAATAAAGTTTGGTTGCTCGGCGTTAACCGTTGGTGTGGGTCGTTGTATTTTAGGTAAACTGCCTTGCGAAGATTATGTATGCCTGGACTATACTGTCTACAGGAGGCCCCTGAATATTGTTGTGTCTGGAGCCGCATTTTCTGGTTTTTGTTCCTTAACTGAGGTCCATACATCTATGCCAGTTGTTTAACTATTGACTAGAGAGGAACCAGGCAACGTTTCGGTGTCAAGCTTGTCAAAGCATGAAAGTAAAAGACTTTTTTAGGTTGTGGAAACGATTCTGAGCTTAAAGCTAAATTTAGAATGTAGCTTTGCACTACTATGCATTTGAGGTACGGAGTACCTCGTACGCCTTACAGCCATTACATACTCCGTATTACCAAGGAACGTGACTCACCTCAACCGGGTTGCTCGGAGATGTGGGATGCGGTCCGGACACTTTATCATGCAAACAGATAGGCCATGATTTCGCTGGTTATTCGATTTCAAATCATCCGTCCTCCTTCTGTGCTCCCTCTCGGCTAAGACTAAGAATATCTCATAGCCTTTGCGTGGCCACCGCCAAAACATGTCTCCGGAGATGATTTTCTGTTCCTGGCCACGTTACACAACAGGGGGTCATAAGTCATGTCCGCTCGAAGCCTTTAGTTAATTTAATACGCTGCTGACAAAAGGGCCATACCTATCTATCAAATATCGCGGGTCCATTCCGGTTTTGGGTCCAAATTGTCCAAATCGGGTGGTGATACCTACAGCACCTAATAATTAATAATACTGGCCATTTGACTCAAGTCCCGATGTTGAAGGCGAAGTTTACACAACCAGCGAAATCTTCGTCTTGGGTCCGTAATATGTAACCACGTGGATGGAACTGGTCACTGCGCCTTCAGCCCTACGAAAAAAGGAATAGGTGGAAAGTGTATCAGCGGTCAAGGCGCTTTGGTCCATTCAGCCACCACAATGGGGTCCTCGAAAGCTGAAGTCAAGATGGGGAAAATAACTGACATATCTCTGAACACACCTCAACTCCCAAAAGGATTCAATCGGTTCAGGTTTTGTGTCGCGCCTATGGGCTAATCGGCTTTCCCACGACTGATTCGCACTCTACCGTTTCATCTTGACCGAAAAATTCCACTGTCACTGCTGACAGGTGCTACAGGCATAGCTCACCAATCTGCCTTACCTATGGCCCCATAGCGACCATGATCTCATGGTCGCTAGCAAGTAAAAGAAGATTATTCAAACCATTTCGTAGCCCATCACCTATTCTCTTGTTCTATTGATCCTAGGAATGTGTCACCGCCGGTTTCCAGTGCGTATCAAGAGAATTGTTAGGATGAAAATCATTGATTATGATCAGTAGTTTAGGACAGAATTTGGAGAACCGATTTGAAACATCTCTAGGTCCTATATGATGCTACATTTTGGCATCCTGATCGTAGACTGTTTAGGCCAGCCAGCCATACGGTGTAGATGTTTAACTCTTCCCTAAATTTGACAAGAATGTTACACAAGGCCCGATCAAGTGTCAGTTTCCAAGAGCAGTTCCGACTTGAAAAGTTGATACCTTGGTTCTGAATTGACTTTGGGCAGTATTTAAACCGGGCCAGTACCGATTGACATGCGTTTGCAATCCTGAGTCACTTTGGAGCTACGGAGCCCTTATGTCGCATATCCAGCACCTACCAACTTCCCACTTCGGCGGTGCCGCTACATTGGCCCGGGGAACTAGCGGGATCGACCGCAAAACCCAGCCAATATGGCTTTGCACTGAGGGATCTGCAGCTGGCTTCTCGGCTTCTGATTGAACGAGCCAGCTTTCAACCCGGCCAATACTGGGGGTGGCACAGTATCCACGAAGACATACTCCACGTCGATGTACGGAAAACATGCGACCCAAGGATTGCCATAGGCCAAGCTATATCCCCCCTTCCGGCTTAAGCGATGGAGACTGTTTACTTCCCGCCAGCCTTACCGGCAATTCATTCCAGCTACACCCTCAGCCTTAATCTTATCACGAGCCATACTCCGCCCAGACTGGCCTCCTGGCCACGTTTAAGCGGTCAGGGTTAAGTTAGTAGCTACCTAATTACAGAGGACACGTCGGCTACTTACCCAAAAGAAGGTGACTAAGAAAAATTATCCTAGACACCGTTGAGCCGTTGAAACGTTATGGAACAGGGGTCATGAAACAGGTTCAAAGCCATGCGCGTTTTAAAAATTATTGTATGTACAGAGTAAGTGTGTGCGGAACGCGGATTACAATATACACTTAATAGATAACAGGCTCGGTTCTTAACCAGGCTAATCCACAAAAAAAAAAAAAAAAAAAAAAAAAAAAAAAAAGAAGGAAAATAAATAAATAAAGCTCCGGAATAAAATCTGTATGAACGTGCCATTTCTCCCGGAGACAAAATATAATTGCAACACGGTTAGAGTCCATTATCCAATGTCCTGCCATGTAGGTACATACATGCATACATACATACAGAATTTAATACACTCCACGACAGCCACACTGGATCGGGACAAGCTTGGGAAACAAGAGCCGCAAAGAGCAAGGCTGCTAACTGTGAAGGTAGAGAGGCAGGCCCCCAAAAAGGTCTGGCCAACAGAGCGAAGTACTGGAAGCTTGGGTCTTATAGTCTTTGTTTAATATACCGATAAGGGCAACAAAAAGTGCGCCTCGACGTGGGGCTCGACGACCGAGAGGAAATATTCTGCGTGCTGACAGGTTCCCGAAAGCGTAGTAAAAACACGTTCACATGAAGGATAGCAGTACGGGGAAATGCCTGATTGTCGATGGGCGGAGTGACATTTAACGACAGGAAGAGTAATTAAACGGAGCCCAGTGCCCCTAGCACAGGCACCGGCTTCTAGGCGAATAAGCATTGCTGAAAAAGGACGGGAAAAATCGCTTGTAGCCGTAACACTGGGGGCCTCGATGTCGACGAGTAAGTGGGCGCTATCAAATTTATTAGGTGCAGAAAGACAGCGGTTATATATCCCGTAGATGAAAATGTCATCTCACCAATCTGAGATTGTTTTTATTCTAGAAATACGGATCGCATACGTCGCAACAATGATGGGCTTGAACCTGGTGCACGCTCAACCCTGACTTGGTGGGAAAGTCGAACACCTCGGCCACAGATTATGAACACACAGATCAAACGCACGTTCATCTAGGACACGACTCATGCCGATTGGTCGTTTTCCAATAATGGTATAAATCGTGGAACGATTTAACCGTCCTATTGAAAAAAGCGAATTCAAAGCATTCCTGTGGGTCATATCCCTCCTGTGGGTCGTAAAAGTAGGAATCATGTCAGCACAGGTTAGCTATTATGGCAAATATGGATCCTGGTGGTAACTGAATACTAGTCCTAGCGATGTACTGATCAAGGTCAATGATCTCAATGAGAACCCGCCGAAGAGAGCGAATGAAGGTTGCGACGCACTCACGAATTCGTGGATAATGGATCCCTATTCTTCGAGTCCGAGCGGGAGCATGCCACACGGTAAAGCTAGAGGAGCGCCTTGACCCTGCTGAAGACATCGACATGCGTACGAAGTACTCCGTACATACACTTTGAGATGCTGTTCCCCATAGTTCAGGGTTTGCCCTAGTTAGTTATTGCGGTTCGGCACACTAAAAAGTATTTAGGCTACTAAGGGGAAAGTTTGTTGTTCCCTGCAACAGCAAAGCATGTTGGCGCAGCGGAAGCGCGCCGGGCTCATAACCCGGAGGACCTTGGATCGAAACCAAGACATGCTACTTCGAAAAAAATCTTTTTTGGTTTTTTTTCTCCCTCGGCTCGAATCGACTGTCAGTCCATCCCCATTCATACCTGTTGGGTTTCACCGCTCACACTATTTTTTGGTTTGAAATTCGGGCAGGATTAGTAGCCAAATGGGCCATGGATTTGCTACTTTCATCGGAAACCGGGATATAGTATGTAAAATCCTTCGATATTACAAACACTCTACTCAAACTGACTGTAGTATGAATCCGACGGAAATACACATCTATGACCCCAAACACCAATAGTGCGCTCTCTTTTTGGGGAAACACCGAAACGGCCAAAAGAAAATCTTATATATACACGTACAAGCTGGATTTAGGTATCACGATGAGATCGAATTCTTCACCCACTTCTCCAATCCGCCAAGGGCAATAATTTCCTGCACATTCGGCGGCAGCTCGCCGACCTTCTGTGTCCACTTCGGTCCATCGGGCCCTTCTTGGATCTCGATCTGACTTCGGCGCACATCCCAAGTCAGAGTCCAGCCGGTTCGGCGGGTGAGCTGCTTAGAATCGGTCTTATCGCTTCCAAAAGTCTCTCTTAGACGAGTTATCAGGCGTGGCACCTCGAGGCCCATAAGTGCATTGTTGATGCTGTTCCGGGAGAAAATATTGCCAAAGCTGCCGGAAACAACAAGCGGGATCTGCTTGGCTAGGATCGCCGTGGCGGCTTGCTCTCGAGAGCTTCCACAGCCGAAGTTGTATCCGGTCACGAGGATATCTCCTGCCTTAGCAACTTTGCCGAATTGGGTGTCATAGTTCTCCATACAGTATTCGCCCATTTGCTCGTAGGGAATGTTGTCCTGATAAGTGTATTTTCCGGGATAGATACCATCAGTATTGATGTTATCAGCGTCACAAAAAACGATTTCTCCAGAGACCCGCTCAGGGAATCCGGGGTAGACCTCTGTAAGACCCTCTTCTCCTGAAGAATTACTTTCTTCGCTCGCAAACAGCTTTTCAGCGTCCTCAACCATACTGTCGAGCTGGCCGATGACTTTTTCGAGGGCCTGTTCAGCAGTGATCATCTCATTGCCATCACCCTCGCCGCGAACAACTCCAGTCCATCCCTCAGGCTTTTCGTACCATCCAGGACCACTGATCGTGCCGCTAAGAGCACTGGCAGCAACCACTTCGGGACTAGAGAGATATGCTTTAGCTTCTGTGCTACCCATTCTTCCCTTGAAGTTCCGGTTTGTTGCACTAATTCCGACTTCTCCAGGTTCCAGCAAACCGGTTCCAAGACCAATACATGGGCCACAGCCGGCTGGAAGGGGCTCAGCACCAGCTTCGAGAAGCGCCTGCCAGTCACCTGCCTCTTCGGCAGCGCGTTGCTCGGGGATGGACGCAGCGGCGATATAGAATTTGACGCCGTCTGCGATCTTGGGAATCTTTCCACCGTTCTTCTCGGCGGCTTCCTTAAAAACCTTGGCAGCTGCAGCAATATCGGATGCTCTCGAATTCGTGCAGGATACTAGATATGCCTTGTTCACCTTGATGTTCTGGGACTCCAGCTCTTTTAGTGGCGTGGCGACCTTGACGGAATTTGGTCCCGCGACGTATGGTGATAGGGTAGAAAGGTCAAGGAAAAGTTCCTTCGCGTATTTAGCTCCTTTGTCAGCGACAAGTGGCTCTTCAAAAAGCTGGTCTAGTGCAGCATGCTTAAACCGCTCGGCGGCAGAACTCTGAAGCTCGGGAACGGTTGATCCCCACATAGCTGCCGTAGTTGCCTTTGATCTTAGCCAGCCTTTCAACATTGAGTCGACGGGGAAGAGTCCACTCAAGGCTCCCCATTCGGTTGTCATGTTGGCGATTGTTAAGCGATCGTCAATATGAATGCTTCTCATGGTCTCCTCGGACCCGGTGAATTCAATGGCGTGGTTGAGGACATCATCTTTATCAAACAGGCCACAGAGTGCAACGATGACATCCTTTCCTGTGACCCCCTTTGGCAGAACTCCCCTGAAAGTTACTTTTGCTACAGGTGGAATCTGCCACCATGTCTTGCCTGTGGCCCAGATACTCGCAGCATCGGTTCTCACAACCGGTGTTCCTAGACAGCCAACACCGCCGTACATATTGGAGTGACTGTCGGATGCGACGACCAAGGTGCCCGGCCAGGCGTAGCCCTCTTCAACCATGATTTGATGACCAATACCCCTACCAGCGGGGTAGAAGTCCACTCCATGGGTCTTAGCAAACGTCTCGATCTGTTCGTATTTTTTCAAATTCTTCTCCGACTTATTCTGGACGTCGTGATCGAGGGTCATGACAATCTGATTCGGGTCATTCAGCTTGGAGGCGCCAATCGACATAAACTTCAACGCAACAGGCCAACTGTTGTCGTGAGTCATGACGCGATGGGGAGAAATTGTAACATAGTCGCCAGATTTGACATATTTGTCCTTAGGAAGGCCAACGGAGTAGCGTTGAACGATCTTTTCCGTAAGAGTCTGGGGAACGGCCTTGGATGACTCCATCGCCGATAGGATAGCTGCTGCCGCAGGGTCCTCTCGCTGGGAGTGAAAAACATCGGTCGACAAGGCGCATGATGTCGAAGAAAAAAGCCTAGGGCACCCGCGATTCAAAATCACAGGAGACGCTCGTAATCTACAAGCTTGTGCCCGCGCAAAAGGTAAAGGCCTGGTCTACCCTCGGGGGTTAGTCAATACGGAACGTGCCCAGCGGAGGGAATTTTCATACCAAGGACCTCCGTGCACCCAGGGAAGCCTGTGTGGCTATCCCGCGCACCTGCCGATGCAGCAATTGCTGATAGCTGGTCATCTTCCCTCAACTGCTCGTCTGGGCCGTCTTAGAAGACTTTCGTCGAGCAATCAGCGACGACCTAATTCAATCAGCCCGTGCAAACGTGGCAAACACTTTTCTCCGATGCCGGGGTTGATTGGTTAGTCAGCAAATTATCTCACTGGAAAAGTTGCACATCGACGGTTGGCAGGACGCTTTGGCTGTGATACTTCCAACGTCAAAGTCGAAAACGATCGGGAAGTCAAGTACCCTGCGATTTGGCACACAGGGAACTCGAAAGGAACCAGGTGCCCCACGGAGAGATGTTGAGGCACCCCCCGTGAGCTTAGACAAAAAAACTCTGTGCCTCTCTCCGAATTCGGGGGAAAACGCTGGAGCTCCTCGATGTTGTGTTTATTAGTATCAGAGCTCTAGCTCTCCTTCATCTCAGAAGTAATTACTATCGTCTTCATGTCAGGGGGTTGTTAGTTACGGTACTACTTATATGTGAACTCCAATGTCTTGAATGGTTCGTAGGGAGATGCCAACTGGTTCTGTAATCGCTCGCAAGTAAGACTCAGTGCGATAAACCCGTTCGGATGAGAATCGTCCATCTCGTACATATATCACCGCATTCGCCCCATAGCGACTGCTCTGTACTTCTCCCTCAGAAGTTCAGCGAGCTGAGTGACGACTTATAGGTGCCCTGCTGCAGCATCACTCACTGGTAGACATCACCCCACCGTCACCGTCCGTATGCCCTTCCTGCCCACATCAAGCTCCACCATCCAAAATCCAGCATTACTAACTCCTCCAACCGCAGAATCATCACCATCCCACGCGAAGCGCAGCTCCTCTACGCAGTATCCAAATCACACGCCGATCATGCCCTCCCGGTCCGAGGTTGCTTACTTCGGCGCGGGCCCCGCCCCGCTCCCCACCCCTGTTGTCGAAGGTGCCGCCAAAGCTTTTGTCAACTTCAACGATGCCGGTCTTGGTCTTGGAGAGATCTCCCATCGCTCCCCAACGGCCAACAAGATCCTTGCAGAGACCAAAGAGGCCCTCACTACCCTCCTCGATGTCCCAGACAATTATGAAATCCTGTTCATGCAAGCCGGCGGGTCAGGAGAATTCAGCGCCGTGGTGTATAACCTCGTCAGTGTATGGGTTGAGAGAAGACGGCGGAAGATCAACGCTGCTCCAGAGGAGACACTTGTGGCGGAACTAAAGAAGCAGGTGGAGGAGGAACTGAAGTTGGATTACCTTGTCACCGGATCATGGTCGTTGAAAGCGTCCCAGGAAGCAGCTCGGTTGCTTGGAGAAAAATATGTCAATGTTGCTGTTGATGCGAGGAAGGACAATAGAGGGAAGTTTGGCAAGATACCATCAGAAGAAACTTGGAATCTCACCAAGACGAAAAAAGAGGGCGGAAAAGCGGCCCCTGCCTTTGTCTATTTCTGTGACAATGAGACCGTGGACGGCGTAGAATTTCCGAGTTTCCCCAAGGTTTTGGAACCACATGGCGGTGATGAGGAGGATGAAAGAATCGTGGTCGCCGACATGAGCTCCAATTTCTTGAGCAGGAAAGTGGATGTTAGCAAATATGGAATCGTATTTGTAAGTCTTCTGCTTTCATCTATCTATCTATCTTCTACAAGACGCAAAAATTCCGCCAGGTTCATACTAACCGTCAAGCACAGGGTGGCGCCCAAAAGAACATTGGTGTTGCTGGCATTGCAGTGATCATCATACGGAAAGATCTCCTACCTCCGCACACCGCCACCCCTCCGCCGTCGTTGCTCCGCCAGCTCAATATCGGCGGACTTCCCGGTCCCATCGTCCTCGATTATGCCACAATCGCCAAAAACAATTCGCTATATAATACCTTACCCATTTTCAACCTCTGGGTCGCCGGTCAAGTCATGATCAATTTAGTAAACCTTTACGGAGCCAAAAAGGTTTCAGGGCAGGAGCAAATTGCAAACACAAAGGCTCAATTGATATACGGTGCGTTGGACAAGTATCCAAGTGTTTATACTGTTGTGCCAGAAAAGGACGTACGGAGCAGGATGAATATCTGCTTTCGTGTTCATGGAGGTGATGCAGACAAGGAAAAGGAGTTCGCTATCGGTGCAGAGAAGAGACTGCTTCAAGGGTTAAAGGGTCACCGGAGCGTCGGCGGAATGAGAGCCAGCAATTATAACGCCGTGCCACTTGAGAATGTCGAGAGACTTGTTCAGTATCTGGAGGATTACGCCAATGGACGTGTCTAAAGCGGGCAAGGCGTGATGGTATACTCTATGGTACATGTTTCAACACTGGGGGGGAGAAAAAAAAAATCATCGCTGAGATAAAAGGGGGAAAAATAATGATATACCAACCAGAAACGGGTGTATATTGAACAAAGAAACGCGGCACAAAAAGAAAAAGGGGGGGGGGGGTTTCCGCGGGAAATGATTCAACCATACTCCAGAGCTATGCGGGCAAAAAAAGTAAAAAATTGGGGATATATAGATATTTCATGGACTTTTGATTTTATAGTTTCCAGACAGTCCAACCCTTCAAGTTAAGTTGTTCAAGAAGACCCTGGAGAGGACCCTGAATTTCGACTCCGTTTCTCCACAATTTCGGGCCTGCTAGATAACTAATGAATCCATCTGGTCCTGATATTAGGATCAATTTTGTTTTCCGTCGATTGTCTGTCTCGTATTTATCCATCTGACCGGTGAAGTGTAATATAGTTTCTTTCCCAATGAGGGTGTTCTCTTCGTCCACGAAGTAGTCAACAGACAACCGGCCGCGAGATTGAAGCTTAAGCTCTTCTAGCTGTGAGACAGTAAAGCCTTTAGGCTCATTAGCCAGCTCCGGGTCGTCTCTCCTGGATGTTGCGCCTGAAAAGACCCTTGACCACCAGCTAGTAGGGGCTGCCGCTGGAAAATCATTTCGTCCTCCCAGACAATCGTCCCTCCGTCTGTTCGCCCAAAGTATACGCATTCTCACGTCTTTCAGCTGTCTCTCCCCAAAAATAGTATGCGCGGCCTGCAATGCTGGTGCAATGCCGGTCCCGCCCGCTATAAATAGGACCTCGCGGATATCATCAGGCAGTTCAAACTCCATCTGCGGGCCGCGGAACTCTAGTATCGCTCCCGGTTTCAGGGAATGCAAGTAGCCTGAAACTTCCCCTTCAGGCTCCCTCCGAATCAAAAACTGCAAATTATCACCGTTCCTGACAGCCTCGTCGATCGGCAGCTCATCTTCCCCAATCGGTGGGAGTGGCGTATAATCTCGTCCGACCTGCAGGTGTGGCTGCTTGAATTGGACGCTCCATAGCCCCTTTCTCCACGCCTCCAAGTAAACTTCATAGTTTTGCGCTTGTTTGACCGGCCGCAGGGTGAAGACGCTGCACGTGGAGGAGATGGGTGCTTTGGAGATAAGTTGGTACTTTGTGAACGTGAAGGGATTTAACGTTGAACTAGGGTTTTTCTCGCGATATTGAAGGTATGCACCGATTCCACCCGCGGCTACGGTCAAAATGGTGATTTGTAGCCAGCGGCGTCTCTTCGGTAAGGAATTGCTCGAATTTGAACTCGTTGCATTCTCGCGAAACTGGACGCTTCGAGGGTTCCGGCAGGTCTTCCAGGCAAGCGCCCTTATGGTCGACTCGAGGCCCCAAACTGCAGGAAATTTGGCGACCATTGGGGGGCGTGAGCGGTGAGAGAAAAAGAGAGAAGCTTGATTACTTCGTCCGCGTTCTCAATCTTTGATCACATGAATTTGACCTCGAGTTGACGCTAAGAAGCTTGTCCGATTAGTCAGATCGACAGCTAGCCCGCTTTGGGCACACGGGTGGGAACCTTCCAGGGGGCATCTCAAGCGCCGCGATGGAGGTTGAGTTTGCGCGATTGGGATTTAATTCGGCTGGCTGGTTGTGTTAAAAGACCTGGACTACGACACTGCCCACGAAAAATATACCCGCCCTCTGTGTTGTCACGATAAATTATGTCGAACTAGTTATATGATGTCATACTGAAATTGATCAACCACCGCCTTTCCCACTCAAACAATGGCCCTGTTGCGACGGTTCACAGCCTGAAGATACTCGACCCCGTCTATGAATACCCTGCGGAGCTAAATGGCGCCTATAACGTTCTCTGATCCTGTACGGCCTGGTGCAGGCGCGGCGCGAGATTCGCTCGAGCTCGCCTCCTTAGCTTCCTCCGAATCAAGAAACCAAACTTCGAGGTCATCGTCTCCCTCGGGGATATCCTCGTCACGAAGAGTGTCTCTCGAAAACCAAGATCCGCTCTCAGACTCTCCGTACGACATTACGCGCCAAAGGCATGCCCGATCATACTCCGTTTCCTCTGCGTTTGATTTCGGAAGCAACCTATTCCCTCTGTCGCAAACAGTTGGCGGGTACGCTCCCCTGGGGGCACCGTCTGCGTCGTCATTAGAACATCATGTCGGCCTGGTCGATGGCTCCCTCGAAAAGCGCAAGACTTTGACGTATCTTAATGGCTTATCTCTAATAATTGGCCTGATTATCGGTTCCGGAATCTTCTCTTCCCCGGGTCGCGTGAGCACAAACACCGGTTCCCCGGGCGCTTCCCTGATAATATGGGCTGTGGCTGGGGTTCTTGCCTGGACAGGCGCGGCGAGTTACGCGGAATTAGGAGGCGCAATCCCATTGAATGGGGGTGCACAGGTCTACTTGGCCAAGATATTTGGAGAGTTGGCGGGGTTCTTGTTCGCCTGGTGCGCGGTGTTCGTTTTAAAACCTGGCTCTGCTGCTATAATCGCCATAATCTTTGGGGAGTATGTCGTGCGTGCGATTGTTGGTGCGGATGCCGACATGATCAGCCCGTGGATCAACAAGGGTGTGGCTTTATTGGGAATCGTGTTTGTGACCTTTATGAACTGCATATCGACAAGGCTGGGTACAAGGATCGGAGATCTATTCATGTTCTTCAAGTTTGTCGCACTTCTTGGAGTTACCATAACGGGAATCATTGTCGCGTGTACCGGACTTTCATACGATGGAAAGCCAAATATGGATTGGAAAACCACTGGATGGTTTGAAGGGACCAACAAGGACATTTCCAGCTGGGCTGTGGCGTTATATGCTGGCCTCTGGGCTTTTGATGGATGGGACAATGTACGTATCTACTGTATACAATGTCCCAAAATACTCGTTGTCTAATCTAAGAGTCCAGACAAACTATGTGACTGGAGAGTTTAAGCATGCGAACCGCGACCTACCTCGCGTTATCCATACTGCTATGCCTCTCGTTATCCTTTGCTACATACTCGCAAACGTTGCCTATTTCTTCGTCTTACCATCTTCCACCATCGCTGCAACCAACACCGTTGCCGTTCAGTTTGGAGGCAAGGTATTTGGTCCAATTGGAGCTTTGATCATCGCCCTCGTAGTCTCTGGTAGTTGTATTGGTGCATTAAACGCCACTACTTTTACCAGCGGAAGACTAGTGTATGCTGCCGGCAGGGAGGGATACCTTCCCTCCATCTTCAGCAAAATTGGAATCGGAGGTTCCGCCAGTCCCACCGGTGGCCGTTTGCGAACACGCTCGTGGTTCCATAAGCTCCTCATCCGCTTACTCGGAGACGACATCGGTATCGGTTACACCCCCATTTATGCTATGATTTTCAACAGCACTTTATGTGTGTGCTACGTTGCTGTGGGTGAATTCGGTACCCTAGTTACATTCTACGGCGTGGCCGGATATACGTTCTATTTCCTTACTGTGCTGGGTCTCATCGTTCTTCGAATTAGGGAGCCGCATTTAGAGCGTCCATACAAGACGTGGATAGCGACACCCATTATCTTTTGTTGTGTCAGCCTGTTTCTTCTCAGCAGAGCTGTTTTCGCCGAGCCGTTGCAGACACTCATTGTAGTTGCTTTCATTGCAGCCGGTATTCCGGTATATTTCTGGAGAATATCCCAGCGAGATGGGAAAAGCCAACTGGCAGGGGGGTGGTGGAAGTTCTGGAGGAGATGGGGGCGGTAGTGAAGGCGGCAAACCCCCTTTCGCATCAATCTATCATAGAAGCAATGTCTTCAAACAGGTTGGATGATGGCATTGACAACTTTTTTCTACCCAACCATAAGACATGTGCGTCCACTATGTCTTGGACACATGTCGCTCTTGTACTGTTTCTTACTTTATAGACTTTATTCCCTGAATAGCGACTTTTAATGAGGAATGATTCTATGTGAACTTAGATTTTGATTAAACTAGCCAAGCAAGTCATTTGTGTTATGAGACAACAACTTGCATGTGACAATACTAGAACTTCCAGGAAGCATAAAGGAATAATAACACAATTTTGTTTACAATCCATCTTTCCAGGATCAATATCAGCACTGGAGTTCAAGTGCAGGAGAAGTACAGGAATTGTGGATTCCTTGCCACTTGGATGTGTATATAGCGCTGGTAGTCAATGGGTTAAGATCCAGCATTCCCAATGCTGGGGACCGGGTTCGAGTCCCGGCCGGCGCAAAATAAGAATTAACAATTATCATTTTTTTGTCCGATGGAATTCAGGCTGAATACGTTTATTATTATTATTATTATTCATAAACAGGAAATAGCCGTGCTATAGAAGCAAATTTGCTAGTTAATGTGGTTAAACATCCTGCCACCCACTGGCCGAACTTGAGCCTTTCTTGTTGACATCGACATTGAGACCAGCTAACCCATCCCACTCTCATCAAGTTGTCCTGAATACTCGGCTAGGACGCTAAAATTCCAATATGAGTTAAGATTCAACGGACAGAAAAAGTTGAACAGTTAAATGTCGCTGCTTTGCGAGCAACAGAAGTAAAGGGAGGCATGTGTCTGGCAGTTGAAGGATGGGCTGCTGAAATAGCCAGCAGGAATGCCTTGGAAACTAGTATTCATCGCAGTACTCCGTACTTATTGCAGGAGCGTAAACGCACCAGGGGGTTCCTGATCAGCCAGGCTTTACCAGCTCAGAGAATACGAGCAACCATTCTTTTCGCAAAAGAATGAACCTTTTCCACCATTTTGCAAAGACAATGGAACTTGGAGCTATCGTAAGCGAGGTAATTGGCAACACCCATCCATTCCTGAGGGACCAGGAATACCTAACCCATTGTTGTGGTCCTGATATTTATTCCGTTTCATTCAGCAACTCAGGAGCTGGGTTAGCGGTGGGAATACCAGAGGATTGGAATCTCAAAACAATTCGCAGGGATAGCGCGTCACCCATAGCTGTAGGGGTATGGATCCAAACTCAACGCCAGCGGTGTTGAAGCTTTGCAAGCGGATCGTAAATCTCGTGCTGACTGGAGTCCGCAAACACGATTCCATGACCTATTATCGACTAGGGAGTCTATAGATTAAATCCATTGGGAGAAAATAAATAAGTAAATAAATAAAGAGGGAATTCCAAGAGCCCCTTCAAGGCTTTGGCTCCTGGGAGACCTGTTCTGGAAAAGGCAAAATGGGCAAATTTATAGTCCTCCAAATGCCAAGAAATTCAGGAACAAAATCCTTTTCAGACAAGAATTAGCAGGGAAGTTCTGAGGCTAGTTGCAGCCATGACAACGACATAGTGGAAAATATTCCGCATTGAAGGTCACAATTGCAGGTGCTAATTCACCTGAGGGAACAAGGCCCTGTTGTCAATGCTCTGTTATCAAGTTCATGCCCCGTCTTGCCTCCACTCTCCTCCGCCGAGCATACGCTTCAGATCCGCTCCTCCTTCTCCTCCTCCGAGAATGTCGTGATCTAGACTCAGCTAGAAACGAGCTACGATGGCTCCGGGAGCATGTACATTCGCTTAGCAAAGCAAATGCTTGTGATGATGCATGGCGGCAAAGGCAGTTGAAGTCGATGGTGCGGGATCGGGCACGAGGAATGCCGCTGCAGTATATACTGGGAGATCAGCCGTTTGGAGAGCTGGATATCCTATGTAGGAAAGGCGTGTTGATTCCCAGGTATATAAGCTATTATTTCTTTGAAAGATATAATGTTGATACACATCTGGTCCTCAGGCCTGAAACAGAATCCTACACATTTCGCACCGCACGCTTAATTCTATCGGAGCTGCAAATGGGAAGCTCATCCCCGGCACCAATTCGCATTCTTGATCTTTGTACTGGGACTGGTTGTATACCTCTGCTTCTGCACTCGCTCCTAGCATCATCGATACCGGATCTGGCTCTAGTGGGAATTGACATAAGCCGCAAGGCCTTGTCACTTGCAAGGAAGAACCTGGAATACAACATTTCCCAGAACCACCTGTTGCCTCGCGCTAGACAAGACATTAGTTTCCTGCAAGCGAATGTTCTCCGTGATGAAAAAGCGGAACTTGTGAAGCGCGAGGGCGATGCAATCCCAAGTCTACAGGCTGTACTGGCGGACTTTGAATCGGCAGCAGACATACGCAACAGTCGTAAAGACTTAAGGGGGCAATGGGATGTCCTAATTTCCAATCCGCCGTACATCTCACCAGTCGACTTCTGCAACGGAACCACAAGGCGCAGCGTGAGGCTCCATGAGCCGACTCTAGCCCTTGTTCCTCCACCACTTGCATCTCCTCAAACACTTGAGACTCACAAGTCAGAATATGACGAAAATGCCATGATAACGGCTCAACAAGATTCATTTTATCCCCGGCTATTAGATATATCTGAATTTATCGGTGCAAAGCTTACTGTGATGGAATGCGGTGATCCAGCGCAGGCTAGGAGAATTGTGGATTTAGTAGTGAGGAGAAACACCAGTTATCCTCCTGCAAGGGGGTTGGAGGCCAGAATATGGAAATGTGATCATTTTGGAAGTGATGACATGTTTGCTTCCAGTGAAAAACACACAGATGATGAAGAGGATGAAGGGGCACGGGCTGTTGTCATTTACAGAAACAGAGACATATGACACAGCAAACAATCTAGAATAATTCTCTTTATTCTTCCCTCGCCCTTGAAGGATGAGCACTTTCAGCTTTAGGGTTAGGACCTATTTGACTGCTCCTGGTGTTATAGTATCTGTCAAGCGATATGGGGTACGAAGTACATTAACAGCTATTACCTACCATTTGCTTCTGCCACCCCGAACTGCAAAAATTGGTGCTTCTTGCTTTCACCCATCACGAAGTTTGGGTTTCTCTGCTCCCTCAAAACAGAGGGGAAAATAATGTCCTCAGAGACACTGGTTGTTGCTGTTTATCAACCTGGATTGCTTGAAGTTGGTTGGACTGGGCCCACTGGGGTGATTTGCATGACCAACAACTCTTACATTGTCAAATACCCAAAAGCATCCTCAGGTCACAACACTTACAACAAGATACATCTGGAGCAAATGGTCACTGAAAGACAGATCTATGAATGTCTTAGTCGTCATGAAGGAGTTATTCCCTACCACAGACCTTATGATGATGACGGGGTGATTAGATTGACCTACACAAATCAGTGTGATCTCGAAAAATATATTCCTGCCCACAATATGCCATCTCAGTCATTTTGTGCTGCTTGGGTCCGATCCCTGATCATCCATCTCGGCATCCCAACATTCAAATCCAACAAATTCTACAAACTAAATTCATTACCATGCCTGAAGATAACTTCTTCCATTGTCTTGTTACTTAAAGTCTTAAATTCAAGCTCTTGATTCACTAGCCTAGGGTATTCCAACACAGTTCTTAATTGGATTAGTTAGTTATTCATCTTCAAAGACCAACTTCCTCCCATTTTGACTTTGTTTTCGCCATTTATCTCTTCGATATGTCTTGCAAGCAAGAGAGAGAAACTGGTCGAAAGGTAGCCTCCGAGCCGTAGGTGAACACTATTTACTCGACGCTTGATTTTTCAGCACGTAATCCGGAATGCGTCGATGGAAAGGTCAACGCCGGAAACATTATCTTTAACTGGGGGTTGTGAAGATGGCGAGGGTATCTCCTGAAGTTGTAATCAAATTCGGATCTCATGTTACCATCAGCGAGGCGAAAAACATGATTTTTTGTTGGAAAAAAAAAAAAAAAATACCGAAAATATACCAGTGCCGAAAGTTTGCCTGTTACTCTTACAGTCCAATATCCAGAGATATTAATGACTACAGGAGTCTATTACTGGGAATTTTCCAAAGCTACGTATGTTTGAAAGTGGCAAAATGATTGGGTTGAATATCTAGTGCAAGATTCTCCCACCATACTACTCTGAATATGTGGTTCATTCGTTCTTGACTGAGACACTGTGGTGATACTAACAAGGGCACGCACACGCACACGCAAACGGAGTGAAAGAGAGAGACAGAGGTAGAGAGATAGGATAATAAATGAAAAATGGAAAATGACAGGTCAGGATTAGATACAACTTCATGATGCAACGCAACTGCCTCCCTCCTTGTTATGAGTGCACAAAAGCTTTCAGACGTATTGGCCATTGGTTTCATGATCAGGCCAGGTTTCTTGCCTCAGGTTAAACATCATCAATCCAGTTGGCGCAGTTTCGTGCAGGTGGGTCCGGGTTTGCTTCCAGCAATACTCCGGAGTCGTGGGGAGCTTCATGCTTGATTCTAAAGGCTAGAGAACAGGATACACTATCCAAAGTGCAATTAATGTGGTTTGCTTCATCCTCAATCAACCGATCCATAAATTTTTGCCAATGGCTTATGGACACGGTAATCTGTACTCTGTAAATTCAAATGATTGTTCAGCCACAAACTCCATATTCTGTACGGATTACATACATGACGCAAGACCACCTATATTATATATGCATATATGTACGGAGTATATATGTATTCCACATGCTCGCAATATACGTATGGGAAATCAAAATTTCCAATGCAGATGTCCATCCGGGAGATGCATTTTCACCTTTTATATACCGCCCAGTGTACGGAGTAGTTCCTGGGGTAAAAAAGAAAAAGTGAAGAAAAAGCCAATTCATGAAAAAATACCGACGTCAAATGAGCAAATAAAAATTTTTAAAAAAAGTGAAAGATAATGTTTTTACATGGCAGCAAAAATCATTCCAGCGCCCGCAAGACCTGCAATCACCCCTAGGGGATATTCAGGTTTCAATGTCGGAGCCGCTCCAGCAGTGGAGCTCACTGGTTGGCCATCCATAGTCGGAGTCAAAGTTGAAATTGGAGTTAGGGTAGTTGCAAGAGTGGCAGAAGGGGTAATGTCAGCACTGGACACGGGATCCCTTACTCCAGTCGCCCTAGGAACGCCGTTTCTTCCCGATGCAATCTCAAGTATTTCATTGTTGGTAACGTTGAAACGAGTCTGGGCGAGAGATATTTCGTTGTTCTCAAGATCATAGACAACGTAGGCGCTCCGAAGGAAGGTATCGCCGAGAATAGCTATGTTGACCTGTGCTGGGGCAATTCCAAAGATGCAAGCTTCAGTGCCGTCTCTGAACCGGAGGGTCTCGCCGGTGGGGCTGGTGCCGGGGCTGATGACCATCTCATCCATGCTCACGGAGATGCTTGGCTCCGAAAAAGTGAAGACAAATTGAGCGTCGTAGTTGGCAAGTTCACAGGGTACATACGCCGCTCCGAAGTTAGGATCCCAGACGGCAGAAACAGCGTCAAATATTTCATTGGTAATCACATCTGGGAGATAGGTGAGACTGCTGCCCGTGTCCAAGACGACACTGAAGGGGAAATTTCCGCTTGGGAATCGCTGCTCCCCTGCACCGGTTCTAACACTAAGACCAGTCAGGGCTACAGCAAGGTCCCTACGGCTCCTGCGAACACCCACGACGGGGACGGTCTTCAGAGTGCCTTCAAATTTGGCTGCGTTAACCCCGCCAAAGAGAATCTCTCCCCTGCTAGCGCCTAGGTCATTCAGCCAGATGCTGTATGCATTGGACTTGATGAAGTCGCCGTCCAACAAAGCTTGTGGCAGATTGGCATAAGGCCTTTGTCTGTTTAGAACAACTTGCACCTCATTTGACGCGTACCCAATTCCCAACACACCCTCTGCAGTGAAACACCGGTCAGTCATGATTCTGCACTTTTTGAATTCAGGGGGATTGCTCTTGCATACCTCGAGATGATGAGGTGTACCCGACGGCGAATTGGAAGTCTCTCAGAGTGACGTCCGAGAAGCGCAGTGTATCCGACACATAGTCGCCAGCCGCTCCGGAGCCATCAGCATAAGTGATGTTGAAGTCATCGTTGATGCGTCTGTATGATGATGATCTCCTGGGATCATACGTGCCGCCGACCTCACAAAGCCGCCGGCGATCGCTGCAGATCTCTGAGCTCGGGGTGTTCACCCAAAGGTCACTGCTGCCGGTATCAATGTGCATCCGCAGATTTTGCGGCGGGGTCCCCAGTGTAATGTTGCAGAAATAAAGCGTTTTCTACAAGGCGAAGTTGTTCGTCAGCAGGGTCCCCGTCGCGGCAAGCGTTCATAGTGAACCCCCTGTTCTCCCCACTGCATTTTTCCCCCCCACCACAGCCCCAAATCAAACACAACGCGCACCCGGGAAGAGTCTCAGTGGTAGATTTTAAGGCACAACACTACATACCTCGTTGTCCAGAACCTGGTTTACCACCTGCGAATCGCTCTGTCGTCGTCTCCTCCGTTTGTCATATTCAATTGGGTTCACGATCTTTTTACGCTCGAGCTCAAAGCCGACGACGGCGGGTGATGATCTTTTGACAAGTTCGAGTGCTTGAACCGTGTATAGTAATGTCGTCGCTGAAGCCAGCGACCAGAAAATAATGCCACGCATAGTGGACCGGGGAGGGGGGGTTGGGAGAAACGGCTAAGGTCCGGTGATGAGTGGATTGAAGGTGAATATCCAGCCCGAACTGGCACGATGCGAGAATACCGTGAATAGGGAAGACAAAGCTAGCTCTGCAGAGTGGTTATTGACATATAAGCACACAACGTGCTAATGGGCTTTGATTAACAGTCACTTCGGGTTCAAGTTTAGGATGTGCAAAACGGGAGGGATTCGGGCTCCTTACATATGCGGTCAGGGCCTGATACCCCAGGGAAATGCCTGCAGACTAGGCTGTTCAGAAGAACATGAAGCAGAAGAGAAAGGAGAAAAAGAATTTTAAAGAGAGAAAGCAAAGGACTTGTCTACGAAGACTAGTTTTGGTAAAGTTCTAATCTAATTAGGAACCACGCCCCCCTCAAAGATCCCTTCTGTGGCCAAGAGAGCGAATCTTTCGAATGAGACCTGGAAAACGGCTTTTGGATGGGGGAAGAAAATTGATGATGCATGTCACAGCTAAAAAAAGCAGGGAGTCGATCATCCTCAACCGTGGTTAGCCTAATCGCTGGTTCGCTGGCTACGGCGTACCCCGTACTTTAAATTCGAGTCTTAACTTTGAGCCTGGAACGAAAGCCGCGCGCGTGGATCCTCGAACAAGAGTCGCACAGGGTCTCAACGCCGGCAGCAGCATCCGTGTGGCCGTTGTGCGCCCGTAGTGAGTACGGAGTACAGAGTACGGAGTACACAATACTAAGCTATCAAAGTCGACATACAGATGTTACAACAAATCAAGCAGTTCGTCCCGCGCAGTGAGTTGGTCCCATTTTCTGGCGCTTCCTTTTTCCCTTTTTTCCTTTTTTTTTTGGCTTTTTCAAAAGTTGGTCATCCGCATGGAGGACTCGTAGGGACGATTGACGTCAGCGCCACTGACTTGAATAACAGCTCTGTCGCCAGCGTTCCCATGGTCTGAACTTCCCAGTTGCCTTCGCTAATGCATCTGTACGTATTATGTCCTTCATCTTTTTTGCGCCGTGAATTCAAGCAGCAATAACGCTCGCAACAGCCACAAGCCACGATGACAGCCCGCTGGGCCATGTGGGCGCCCAGGGCTTGGCCACGGCCAATCATCGCCCGGATTACGCGGAGTCTTGGGGCTTACCCAACTGCTGACGCGGTCTCGCCGTTGTGCGGCTCTGATTCGACAGGCCAAGACAGCGGCTGGGGCTAACCAATCAGCGCCCAGAAACCGATCGGCGCGCCCAATCACAGGCCGAAACATGGCTTAGCTAAGAATTTTAACGCACATGGAGAAAAGGAACGGCCGCGGCTCGGAAGAGGATAAAGCCCAGCGCCTGTGGGGGATGTTGCAATGACGGGCAAGCAGAGTTAAAGGTAAAAGCCAAAAAGCTCCAAGGCTGGACGGGCGCCCCGAAGAAGCCGGAAATGAGTAAGCCAAGTCTCTCGGTGTCAGTTTGAGGGCAGTGAATGAGCTGAGAGAATGCCAGTCAAGGCTTGCGCAGCCCCCTCCTCCCGGCGTCATCCGACAACTCAGAGACCGGAAAACCCGCATACATGGCAAAGTCACCCAGTTCATGATACCGGGTTAATTAATGGATGAAGCTCGACTGGATTCGCACGCATCGTCGTAAGAACAGACAAGGTCCTTTATCTGATCGGAGAGAGACCGGGGGCGAAAGGCTGTCGCTCGCGGAGGAATTCGTTCATCCCTCAACAACTATGCTTGCGTGCTGCCCTCCCCTTTGCTCACGGCACTTCGGATCGGCTGCCTCGAAAGAGCCACGAATTTGGATGCTGCTCGAGGTCGCACTCCAATCCATGCTCAAAAGCTCATGCAGATGGGACCACAAGGCATCATCGCAGCATCGACCCGCCCAACATCGCCCTGGCTGATCGTTTCCTTCCCCGGTGTGTCTGCGCCTTGATTAGCGGCTTGCTTTGCAAAATACCGCCACTCCGGGCTGGCTCACTTGCAGAGCTTTCAAGTTCGTTCCCGGATCAGATGTCGCTGGAATAATCCCCCCACCGCCCCCAAGGTTGAAACCAGTGGGGTTAAGACGCACACGAGATCACACACGCCGACATTCCAACTGGGGCGGGGGTTCGAAACATTCGGGCAGCATCACTCCCAGGATCATCATTTCTGCTGTACCGACGAAGGCAAAGGAAACTCATTCAGCAAACATTAAGTATGTGGATATTATTATGTGTACACGCTTCGATATTAAACAAAAGAAAAAAGAAAACGCAGTGGGACAATGAAACCAATCACGCAGGGTAGGTTCCGGGACCACGCCAAAAATTGCGAAGCCGGGAATCTCTAGGGTGTGTACATACATACTTCGAGCGTACGCTATTACCTCGAATCCCCTCCTTTCCCATTCGACTCCGTTTCGAGAATCCGACTTGGCCACATCAAAGACAAAAAAAATGGACATTATGGCTGCGGAGCTACCGGTACTGTGGACTGCCCGGGGATAGATGCTGACTCGTACCGCACTTCGACTTCGGTTCTCTGCAATATCTCCTCTCTCGAACCGTCGTCACTCCACTTATTGGGCTCTCCCTCGCTCGATATCACAACGGTGTTCATATCCGCCTTCGTAGCCCCGGGAGATCGCTCGAATCGGTTGCGAGATCGTAACGCAATACTATTCCTAGCTTCGCTCCGACCCGATTTACTCTTCGACTGGAGATACGATGTCTCGTTGAGGTATGCTGAGGGCCGTTTGCGAAGTGTGAAGAGCGATTTGAAGGAGGCAAAACATGATACCATAACGGCGACCGTGCTTTCCATTGCACTCCAGAAGAGGAGCCACGCAGGGGGGGGATGCTTGGATTTATTATCATTCACAACGATGCGGAGAATCGACATGGCAATGACTGTGAATCCGAGCGCAAAGAGTCCGATAAGACCGATTTTTTGAGGTGTGGGAAGGTAAGAAGTGAGAATGAACGCGACCGGGAGGGACATGACTGGTTGCAACGCATTAGAACGCCATCAATCTATAGATTCATTGGGGAAAAAAAAAATTTTTTCTTTTTAACATACTTAAAAGATCTGTTAGAATATCTGACGCGGCAGTGAATCTCACTGTGATGAGGTCTCGTTCGATATCTTTCGGCGAAGTGCATCCGACTACACGCAGGTTGTCAGTCAAACCCCCGATCCGTGACAATAAATGAAAAGGAGCACCTACAAGCCCTCAAATCCGAGCACGAAATAGGGGCCAGAATGATGGTGACAAGCGCCCCGATAGCCGTGATTACGGTAATCGCCCACCATCCACGACGGAATGTGGTGAGATTCTTGACAAGTCTCCAAAGCAAGGCCAGCAGGCTTGCTTTGACCGAATACAAACAGAGAATGAAGAGGATGTTGGCCGTAAACATCAACTTAACCAGGTAGGTAACTTGGTCTAGGAAGTCCGGTGGTTTGGGGCCTCCTGTATATGTTCCAATCATCATGTAAATTGCCGGCGTGACCATCGTGGCCACTACATCGTGGCCGAGAAGCAACACATAACCAATTGCTGCGAAGATGTCGTCCCAGAAGAGTTGTCCATGCAGCCACAATCGAATCGCGAACCGACAGATGAGTAGCATCGTACATATCGCAAAGAAGACCCAAATGAGTATCTAATATAGCCGGTGCTTAGCAATGTACGACTTGACAGATTTCTTGGATTTATCAAATGATATCGGCCTATCAATATCTTTTTTTTTTCTTTGTTTTCTTTTGCACAGGACTAAACATACCAGCGTCGTCTCGCGGGGAATGGAAGTCCCCAGCACCGGCTTGTCTTCGCCAGCCATGATGACTTTGGTCTTAACTCTGAAAACTAAAATCCTGCGGCAGCTGAAGCATTGTCGCTTCCAACGGCAGTTCTCCAACTCAATTAAACAGGCCACACTCCATGAGGATCAAGCCCAATCACCAATATGAATGCGGGTTGAAGTTCTCAGTTGTATCGGATCAAAAAGATCCTTGCCAGGATCCGCGATCTCGGGCAACCTGTCAAATATAAGGCTTTCCCCCGCGAGCAAGGTCCACATGGTACCAAGGGGCCAGAGTGCCAGACTCCAAGTGAAGTCTCGAGTAAGGTTTCTGCCACTTTCCCACCACCAACTCCTAGCCAAAACCGCTTGTCAAGAACTACGGCGCGTTTGGACCTGATTGGTTCATCATGGATTTTCTGGTCGATCTAAAGGAGCCTAGCGTATCTCTCGCGACAGGTGGCGATGGGGGGCTGGCCTTAGCACAGTCCCTTTTTCTGGTGAGAATGGCGTCTCCTTGTTAACTGGGGTGAGAAAAGAAAAGGTTGCAGGACCCCTACTCCGTAGTTCTCCGCAACTGGGTGAGGAATCCACTGGAAGAGAAGTTTGGATTGATTGATAAATAGTTCTTCGGATATATTATGCAATATTTGTACTCCGTAGATAGCGGACATAATAATGCGAGTCACCCAAGCTTGCTGCCTCTACTCTTCGGGCTCCAAAAGTTGGTAGCGAGTTGCTCAGCATCACTCAAACGCTTTGCATAACAATGCAACCTAGTGGGCCAAGTCAGTTACATAACTAGTTAGCTAGTCATTCATTATGACTCCATAGTACTCCGTAATTTGATCTTTAAATTCACGTTACAAGCCCCACAGTTCAATGGCACTTTAAGAGCAGCTTCTTTCGCTCGCTAATCCCCCCGCCTGTCAAGACACATGTTTCGAGTGCTTCTTTGTCAGTGCCATGTGGTCCCGGAGCGAATTAAGATTCGAGAGAAAAACGCTGCTGATATACGGAGTACTCCGTGCTCTTCTAATAATTTGCGATCGCTCTGCAAGATGCTTTCATCGGTGACCCAGCGGATCGGTGACTCCGAAGTCCCCTTTGATGCAATCATTGCCACTGTCACTGGTAGATCCGCTCTAAGACAAGCAAACTCAAACCCCACCGGGTTGTTCCTCGCACGCAATCTGGTCGACGAACCTTATTTCTCGGTGCAGAAAACAGGCTCCGCACGAGAAAGTCTGTGCTCTTTTTAGCATCGCGATTCTCTCTCTCTCTCTTGGGTATTATCAATTATTTGTTTATATTTTTCTTCTGCCCAGCCATCATTTGACGTGCAAATCAATACTTCGCACGCAGCGGCGCGCTGATGATAAGGCTCGATAAACACGAGTACATATCCACTGCTTAGCCTAAAGCCATCTGGTCGATGAAAGTGTGGTACCGCGGATGGGGACTTCCCGAGAGTCTCTGAAATTAAGCCTGGCGCGGGTTGTTCGAAAAAGGGCATGAAAGCTAGCCAAACCTTTGCGAAGCCGTTTTCTGTCCTTTTTTTTTTTTTTTTTTTTTCCCCAGCCTTGCCACTCCCTGAACAAGAGAAAGAGCAATACTCTGTACGGAGAACAACAGCGAATGATACTTCAACTCATGGACTTTGCTTGGCCCTCGAAGTCGACGCAGGCACAAACACAAAACTCTCTCCTCTCCTCCCTATGAGCTGAAAGATTTCGCTCGGGTCTCCTTCTCAGGCTTAGCGCGGCGGCCAGCGGTCTCGACGTTTCAAACTCATGCACACTCTTAACCCAACCAGGAAAGTCAATACTCACGCTGAGCTCGAGAGCCAGCCTCTCCTGCGAATTGGCTCACTCAACGGTGCCTTTTGCCGCTCGATCTGGCCAGAAATCGACCACTAGGCGACATGCTTGATTGCCACACAAGAACAGCACAATTTCAGGGGGGATAGGCTTTTTATTTGATTCCCTTGTTCAGTTCACTAACTCATTAGCGTAACCCAATGCTGCATAAATTCCATACACTCTTATTCCCCATCGTCCAAAATTGATCTTCCCTATCGGACTCGCTCTCACGTCGCAACAGGTCCACGTCTTCGGGGAAATAAGTAACTGATAGGACGCTTGAAAGTCCGGCCCCAATCACACGGAGACTTCCACTAACAGTTGCGCTTGTCACGATTCCCACAATGCGGGGTATGACTATCAGCGACCATGTTTTCATGATTCCTTTTTCTTCATCTCCACAAGAGAACTGCATAACTATCGCTGAGAACTTTTTGGCGATCCGGTCAATCATCCACCCATGTACTCCGTAGACGACCTCTATGGTTCGGCTGATAATAAGTGTGAATGCTCAGCAGATAGCGCCTGTATTTCCCGAGGCAACTTTGATAGATTCTCGTGCAGTACGGGGACCGTCCTAAATGCACCACGATCGTTTTTAAGATGCAGCCTCATTTTATGTGAGTAGCTTTCCATACCGTGTGGCTGGCTTCCCTTCAAACAAGCTTTCTAGCTGGAGGCTACCGGCATCCAAACTTCTGAAGATCTCTTCCGGCGATAATGAGAATGTCATAGCTCTTTTCCATGATACATGTCACGAAGACCTACAAGGCTAGTTATCAAATATGTAGCCCCCTTCCACCACATGATTATCTCTCCGAGGACACAGCCAACGTGAAGCTTCATTTTGGTTGCCGATGGAAGAGCTCTCAAGCCACACAACTCTGTTCGTTGTCGAGGTCATGCCCGACCCGACCTATCAAATGGTCGAGAGTATTCCGGATGAATTTCATCTCGCCTCCCAAATGCCACCGAAATCTATCACCCGCAGCCAGAATTAGGCAATAGATATGTACACTCCGGGAGGGCAGGTATAGTCTCGTTATCATTAGCTCCTCTCGTTTCTCTGAGCTTGAAAAAAAAAAGAAAAAAAGAAAAGAAATCCGAATCGCTACTAGGCCGCTCCATACAACTTTCAAGATCCTTTTCCTCATGCTCTCTTACGGCACCCCCTTTGTCTTGATCCGGGAGCACTCTTCTAGTTAGTGGCTATCCCAGAGCAAAAGCCGAACTTGATTTGACCGCTGCTGCCCTTAAATCCCGAATTCTGGAGGACTGTAGGGAGTTACTCCACACCCATGGTGAAACTTAGCTGTGCCTTCAGACAATACATGACACCAATTCACTTCACCTGCTGTCGCACTTGCATGGATGTTAGCTATGAATCTCAAGCTGTGGAGTACCTTCTCTGAAAACGCGACAAGCCATCCCTTCAGACTGCACATGGGGACGATGGGTCAGCTGCCAATTTGATCGATTCTGTGAATGGACCAGAGCTTCCCCGATACATTTACAGAGTTTTTTTTCTCGGGTGATTGATGGGTACATATCTGTTCAAAAGAAAGGGGCGTTTGGTCTGGTGTTAGGGAGAGTGGCAAGGCGCTATGAATGATGAAATTTCGACTCAAATTATTAAGCGGTCCCATAGCTCAGTTGGTTAGAGCGTGGTGCTAATAACGCCAAGGTCGCGAGTTCGACCCTCGTTGGGACCATCAGCATTTCTTTTTTTTTCTTTTTTTAAAAATATTCGTTCCGGCTCGTGGCTCGCGTGTTAGGCACACCAGATTAATTCGGTCAATCTTCATTTTGTCATTTGACGAAGCGAGTGATATGCGTAGCGACTCTTTAATTACTCTATTCTGTACATCTAAAGCTACGCCCGTGCCTGAGAAACCCGCGCTCAAAGAATAACGAATAACGATGGACACCCACCCCTGGTGCTTCTCTCGAGTTTACATCTTCCATAAACCCAACGTCGGTCACAATGCCACCTAGCTGTAATGGGAAGAAATGCGGGGCGCCAGGAATATATCAAGGTCCGGGTAGATAAGCCGATCGCACCCAGAGACGGAGAGGGTGGAACGACAAGGTAGCGGTGGAGTGGTTGAGTAGAGTCATAGATCCGAGCAAGGGACCTGTTTCGTTGACTGGTGTGTTGTTGAAATTCACAGTATGCCGTGATTTGTGGGAGTGTTGGCAAGTTAAGGGGCATGGAAGAGCCTCCGGGGCCCAGGGAAATTAGATCTGTAAGGTGCATGTAGACATAATCCGTAGTCTCGAGTACAGTTTTGATCAGGGTTGATACTGAGTGAATGTACGCTGCTTCGGGGATAGTTTGAAACTCGATGATATGTATATGCTGTGGTCCGGGTCCCATCACGGCCCAGACTGAAAATAGTAATTCGAGAATTTCACAAACCATAGGTAGCGATGGCCACGCTCCTTTCAAAAGGAGGGACAAAATCAGGAGAAGCCAGTTTACCTTGCCATAAACGCCTGTATAATCACCCCCAACGCCATTGCTTGCCGTTGTTCGCGCGACTCGTCCACTGCAATGTTATATTGAATTTCTTCTCAGGGATCCCGTTCTGGATTTAAGGCCTTGGTGGTTTAAAAAGCTCCGGTTTCATGTTGATTTTGCACAATTTTGCTACGCAGCCGCTCAGCTGTACGAAAGTCTGTAGTCCTTCGAGAATGCGCATATGCGTAAACCCGATCTCTTTGATGAACTCGAGTTTTGAATGTTCTGGCAAAGAAGGAATCGTTTTGGTGACTCGGAACATCGTTGAAATAATATCATGCGAGGAGTATCCCAGATCCCTGCAAAACATCTCAAAGTCAGAATCCAGGCGCTGGCGGTTTTCTGACATTTAATTCGGGGCTATTCTCGAGGAATCTCGGTGTCTCACCATAATTCTGTCAATGTATCCAACGCGGAATCGACCTTACCCTCATAGCACGCTTTGATCATTGCTTGGACCTTAACTGGATGAGGACTATCGACCACACGGAAGACATTATCGCCGCTCACAAAACCAAAACCGGCCCAGGTGCTCTGGAGATTGTTGATTGCTTGACGCATGTCGCCCTCCGCGCTGAATACCAGCGCCGCAATCCCATCATCGGAATACTTCACATCCTCCGCTTCGCATATTTGCATTAATCTCTTGACGACCTGGGCATCCGTTAAACGAGAATAGCGTAAAATTGCACAACGCGACTGTAGTGGCTCAATAATCTTGTTAGACTGGTTGCATGCAAAGGCAAATCGAGTAGTAGCAGAGTATATTTCCATTGTGCGACGGAGGGCTTGTTGGGCACCAGAGGTCATACTATTCGCATCGGGTTAGGGATTGACATGCCGTGGAAACACAGTGATGGAAAGGGGTTTCAACCTATCGGCCTCGTCAAGGATAACAAGCTTATGCTTTCCTGGTGGTAATGTGACCTTCTTCTGTGCAAACCCTTTTATCCGATTTCTCACCACGTCAATGCCTGCGAGGAAACGGACCCTGTCAATGGCATCATTCCAAAGGACTAAGAATCAAAATTATGTTCGAAACAAACCTCTTTCGTCACTAGCATTCAGCTCTAACACAGCCTCTTTGTACACATCTCCCAGCATCTGCCTTGCTAAACATAAGATGGATGTCGTCTTTCCGATTCCCGGCATGCCGGAAATGATAACGTGAGGCATATTTCCATCGCGGGCAATTATTTTTAGCCTCTCTATCGTCTCCGTATTTCCGACAACGTCATCGAGGAATACAGGTCTGTACTTTTCGACCCTGGATGTTCCAATTCTTCGGTCAGCATCCGTCAATTTTGTTCGCCTTGTTTGCAGTGCCTACCAGGGTAGCTCATAGTCTGGGGGCGCGCCAGCCGCATTTGCGCGCAGGGCATGTTTCACAGCTGCATTGGATGATTCCGCCTGAACCATTTTGGAAGATTGTGCTCGAATTTGATTTTCGTGAATCTGAACTCACTCCTCTCCACAGGCCCGTGGAGGAGACGCGGCTATGGCTTTGGCGTCTGAACGCGTCGCACCACGTGGAATGACAGGCCCTTATCGCGGGGATTATCACACGTGACCACTCTGCCCCTTTTTGAGTCCCAGCTCTCCTTTGCTAAACGTTGCTCGATGCGAACTTCTCATTTGTTCCAGCGCGCTGAAAACCACCAGTGACAAGGCCCACTGGCCACGGCAAAGTATGGCGCCGAGAATAGGTCTCTGTTGGGCGAATCTCTCGCCGAATGGACGAGAGACGACTTCAACCTCTCCTTGACGGTGGTTTCCAAAGTTGGCCGGCTTGGAGCTACCGACAGTGACCAATTCTTCAAAGGCTAATGTGGAGTACTTCACTGCTAAAGATGCCGACTCGTTTCTAGATTTTTGTTAATATGGGCCGTCGACCGCTATCAATTCGTGCAGGACAGAAGCAGATCGCACGTGTGGCATTTGATTGGGACGGCTCGATGCGTGTCGATCTTTACCTTTGAGCTAACGAACCCCAAGAAGAAGAACGCCATCGAGCCTGGGAGGCATCGGATCAGATGGGTGATGTATGCTCCGTATGTATATATAATATATACATATATATAATCGTAAGACCCGGCAAATGCTAGTTATTGATTGCAATGCTCCATCTCGTCGTCTAGTTTAATACCTAGTCGTCGCTGTGTCCGCTCGTTCTTTCGCTTGCCATCATGCTCTCCCCCAGTTGGTTCTATGCCTTGCTCCCTCTACTTGTGAATAAGGGCGCGTGGGCGGTGGATGCCTCGTGGCATGCGCCCAGCTCCACCGAAATTAATGACCTTGACAAAGTCCTTAATGCTTCTGGAGTTTATGGCTTTATTTTCAATTCTTCGCATACTCCAGACAAGGACTATGGCCAGTACAATTGGTGTAATATGCCGCATGTGCGCCGACGAGAGTACACAAAGCCCCCCAAAGATTATGAATTGCAATACGTGGAAGTGGTATGTCAAACCTCTGCTTGCGCGTGCTGCAAAGATGGCAACTGGCCATTGTGCACTATTCTAAGCCTCGTTACAGATTCACCGTCACCACAAGCGTACTCCTTACCAGTCAAACACGTTCCCCGAGGAATCATATCCCTGGAATTGTGACGACGAAGGGTTGTACTTCTATGGACAACCGATGAAAGGCAAGCAAAGCGCCGAGCCGTACTGGAAAGGATACCAGAATCCGGTGACTCCATTCTCTGCCCCGGGTTTTAAGGGCACATGCACGTTTCCGCAGATTAGTAAAGGAGGGCTGGACGACTCGTGGCAGCACGGTCGCGACCTGTACACTGTGTACCATGATCTTTTGAAGTTTCTTCCCAGAAAACTTGACTTGGATAGAGTATCTTTTCGGGTGACGACAAACGTCATCACGAGCCAGGTTGCTGGAATGCTAATCAACGGGATGTATGGGATATCAGGCCATGTGCCTCTCAACGTTGAGGTAAGGCAAAGCCCACTCCTAAACGAAACGCTCTGGTTAATCAATGCTAGTCTGAATCAATTGACTCCCTTGAGCCTTCTTACTCATGCCCTAAAGCCGCAGACCTTTTCTCCGAGGCCAAAAGCCAGCCAAACACTACGTGGGCTGAACATCTCTCTCGGACCAAGGACCTCTTTTCCTCGCTGGATTCCGTTTCGGGTGTTCCTCCTTCTGATTCGGGTTGGCACCAGAGTTTTGATCACTACTTTGACAATTTATCCGCACGTCTTTGTCATGCCAAGCCTCTCCCTTGTTCCGTCAACGATACGTCAAAATGCATCTCTCAATCGCAAGCGGATACGGTCTTCCGCCTGGGCCAGTTTGAATATTCCTATATCTATCGTGATGCACCCACCTCCCTGGCGGCTAGCACTGCCAGCATGGGCGTCTGGATTGCCGAGTTAGCACAACATCTACGTGATCAGATCTCCGGACACGATGGCAAGATGGTTTATAGACATAATATTGCTCATGATGGCAGCATATCGCGCGTTCTCTCCATCATGCAAATCGACAAGATGGTTTGGCCAGGAATGGGGGCTGAAATAGTATTCGAACTGTACGCGAAAAGGACTGGCTTAAACAAGCCGAAAAAGGAGCATTTTGTGCGCGTTCTGTTCGGTGGACGAGTAATGCACAGTTCGAATCCGGACTTGGGCAAGATGAACATGATTCCTGTTTCCCAACTGCTGGAGTATTTTGATGGCCTAGTTGGGAAGAGGGCGAATTTGGTTCCTGGCCTATGCAAAAAATAGACTTCAAGCGCAAACATAGGCGCCATACTCTACTCCGTACGGAGTACGGAGTACACTGGATTGAAACGTCTGCCCCACACGAGAACTAGGGAGTAGCGGAACATTGCAAGCGAAGCGTCTTCCGAGTTCCTTTCTAACTCTATTCTTAGGCTTAAGCTGTGGTAAAGGACTACACTTGAAGAATAAATTATTCAGACTTGGGGTTTGAGACTGTAAGAAAATATAACTACATCTGCGACTTGTTGACAAACAATTCGTCTGTTAAACACAATGTGTCTTGAACAGAAATCCTTCTACAATCTCCACTTCCCTCAAGCTAATTCACTCCCATCTATCTCTCATATTCTTAAAGGAGCCAGACCAATTCCCGCAAGAATGTTTCAAGCATGTATATTATAAATCAGGATCCTGACATCCTCTGCAGAACATCCTTGGGCGACTTCGGCATCAAGGCTCCTGCAGGAGGGGTGTTCTTACGTTTAAAATCATCTGCCATTTGCTCAAATGTCACCCACTCAACGCCATCATGCTTGTTAATATATTCAATTAATCTATAGAGACCCTGTTAGTCTTTGAGAAAGCATGTCATACAAATAACAATACTACTAACCGTTCATGCATAAGCAATACATGAGGGCGCCCGGAAACATCCGGATGGATTGTCATTGGGAAGACAAATTCATCATACTCCCGATAAAAGTAGTCAAAATGGTCCTATAAGGGATAACTATTTTCAGCTTTTGCATATTAATGACAAAGAGTATAACATATTTGCCTTACCTTCCAAATATCCTCCACATCCCTTGGGTTTACCCATCCATGGCTATTCGGTGCATTCTTTATAAACATCATGGGCGGCAAATCATCCAGATACCAATTTCCCGGTATCTCTACTAAGCCCGTCGGCGATCCTATACTGAGCGGCTTCATCCACTCTTCCGCTTTCTTTGTGTAATCAATCTTGGTCCACTTGGCCTCCGCAGGAAGCCAATACATCTGACAATCATGATGCGACATTGAATGGTCATACTCAATCCCATAATCTAAAAGCAGCTCCGCGCCCTCCTTGCTCGTTTCCCACCACGGAGCAACAGTACCTCGTGGTGGTTTACCGCAGAAATCTGTGAGGAGACGATATGTCTTGGTAAGCACGTCTCGCTGCTGCTCGAGCGTCATATCCGTGGGGTTCTCATGGGAATAGCCATGCAGCCCAATCTCGTGGCCTGCATCACGCACCATGGAGCATTCCTCGGGGAATGATTCAAGTGTGTGGCCGGGAATGAACCATGTTGCCTTGATATTGTACTTCTCAAAGAGTTTGAGCAGTCTACGCGTTCCAATGGTGCCTGCCCAGATACCTATGCTCTTTTTGTGTTAACAATTCAGTAGTGTGGATTGGCCAGAGTAGTGAATACACACCTCGACTTATGTCGTTGCTGCTATCTTCACCGCCATATGAGCCTAGCCAGCCGGCAACGGCGTCTATATCGACACCATAACCAACGAGAACTCGCTTCTTTCCCATCGTGATCGTCTGTAAAGTAGAGCTTGCCAAAGCCACAGGGGATCCTAAGAAGTTTTAAGTACGTCGTACTGTGCAAGGAACTTGGCTGGTATATTGATTAGATTCTCATGGAACTATTTACGGAATACGCTGTAAGTACCCCACACATAGAGCTGCTGTACCCCGCAAACGCCCAAAACCTAAGGGCTGCAGTAGCCTAGGTTAAAGAAAGACCCATCGCAGCAAATATGGATCGTGTCCACAGCGGTGAGCTGCCGCTCAAGCCCTACCACATGTACAGGCAGGAAGCATAAATAACACCTATGGTACTTCAGGAGTTAAACTTGCACTGTGGCTCGATGTAGAGACAAGGCGTCCCATTCCTTGTAGCTGGTCTAATCGCTGTTTCAAAGCAACCCCGGTTCAATTCTCTTGAACTCGATCACTTCTTTGAATGTATTTCACCGTAAAACCTTATTTATCACAACTGCAGCACCCAAAACTTTCTCCTCTTCCAGTTTCTGCCCTATAATCTGAAGGTTAACGGGGTATCCTACCATCTTGATTGGATCGTAGAGAGCCCAGTTCCAAGCATCTAAATCATTGCGTGGTTTATACAGCTTAGATGGAAGGATATCGAGATCCACCTCGACCTTACCAACTGGGAATGTAAGTGCAGGATAATCAAGAAAATTCCAAACTTTCGTATAGCCGACCCAACGGCAGCATCGATGGGGTACGGCTGTATGTGGCATGGTTGGAGCGAGAAGAATGTCGACAGGCTTGCCTGACGGAGATGTTGTCTTTTTCCATTTATCCAAATACCTCTTTTGAGCAGCAAATTTCTTCCGGTTTAATTGCCAGTAGTCGTACACGGAGATGGGTTTGCCCCTGTTTATGAGAGCTTCGACGTGAGGGACATACGGTTCGCCAGCAATGGCCACGTCACGCTTTATGTCTTCGCCCCCATCAACGGTATAGTATGCGTCCATAATAGCGATGCATTCATCATGCCCTTCGGTATCCCATTCCACAATCTCGTGTCCTAAAGCCCTTAGTTTGTCTGCTAGTCGGAGTAGATGTCGCCTTATATGCGGATGGACTCTCACGACACCGTCATCGACGATGAGGCCGATCACCATTGGCCGAGATTGGAGTTCCAAAAACATATCGTCTCTCCAAGGCAAGGGGGCACATCTTGGATCCAATTTCCAAGGCTGGGATTGGGCAAGAAGGCGGCTGATATGAATGATGGTGGACAAATCTCGTGCCATCGGCCCAACAGCGGAAGGGATATGCTCCTGGCCCTCTGTAGAGACAGGAACGCCATAATAAGGCAATCGGGAGCTCTTGCCACTTTATTAGCATAACCTCAGAAATAACACCGACAGCGTATAGTATTAACTCACACTCGGCTTAAATCCATAAAGGCCAACCATATTTTGAGGGATTCTTATGCTGCCACCGATATCTGTGCCAAATCCGAGTACGGAACCATGCAGTGCAAGCAGGGCAGCTTCCCCTCCTGTCGATCCGCCGGGTGTGAGTTCCGGGTCCATCGGATGGAGCGTGAGCCCGAAGAGAGGATTCTCCGTCTCGCACCACTAGCAATATAAAATGAGCAAGAATATAATCCACAAAGGTTGAAAGTCACAGCATAAATGCAAATCCTACCATAATACTCTGCGGCAAATTCGTCTTTACAAACGGGACCGCACCCATATCCTTCAGAATCTGGACCAGCACTGCGTCTTCCTTCGCGGGTGCGAACGAACGACCAACGTATCCTAAAGTGGTGTCATGACCTTTCACGTTGAATTGATCCTTAAGTGAGATAGGAATCCCATGCAGTGGGCCCTGGAGCCTTCCCGTCTCCGCGAATGTCTTATCAAGCTCCTGGGCTTGCTTGAGCGCATCCTCAAACAGCACTTCGGTGATGGCATTGGTCTGCAATAGCTTTTGTTAGCAAATTAAAACACATCAAATGAGTCCGGTCACCAACCATTTGATGGGCAATTGTTGCCCTATGAAGACACCAGTCAGCGTCACAGCATCGGTAAAGGCTATATAGTCAACAGAACACCCGAACCTCTTGATATAAGCTAGGACAACATCTTCCGCCGTGAAAACTCCCTTCTCCAGTTGCTGATGGAGAACTTCAATGCTGCTGATGTCCGTGATAATCTGAGTCTTCTCCGAGCCGGTTTGCGATCTTTCAGCTACGGACACCACCCACTCTCCTCTGTGGTTCAAATTATCTGTAAGGAAAGGCTTGAGCGCCTTATTCCTGGCTTCCCTCTTTCGGGCAACAATGTTTTGCCAAGGGGAAATATTTGTCTGAGTCATGGCTGGCAGATTATTCTGTAAATTGCTACTTCTTGCTCACTGTCATACCATTTTCTTCGCTCAAGGTCATCTAGCGCACAGGGCCTATGATGACCTGGGGCTGGTATTCCGTAGAACGGCGCGCCGAAACCGAAGTTCTTCAAGAACAGATTGCCGAGGAATTTCAATTGGCCAACGGCGGCTCGGGGGCAGAATTCGAGCTCCATACCAATCCCGTACTTTTGAGGTGCCAGCCATCCTGGGCAAACTGCTAAAAACATCTTAACAAAAGTCTATTTGACAAAAATGTTGAGGGAGCTGAATCGGAAAACACTGAAACACGCCCAGCGCCTTTCTGACACACAACACTCACAACATCTGAGGGAGATAAAGTTTGCACGGCTTGGGGGCTCTGATATCTCTGATCCCTGAAATGTATGGAAATCTCAAATTAGTTCTTGCGGGGACTACGGAGTACTCCTTAGTTCTAACTAATCAGCCCAATAGTTCCCACCTAGTAACAGTCCTTGAGGATAGGATGGTTCCAAACTAAGGCCATCATTCAAGGAAAAGGCGCCCTTCAAGTAATATCCCATCCTCTAACAAGCGAACACCACACAGTGATGGGGCTTATCGTCGTGGCTTTGAACAGCATCTTATTGGTCATGGGAATTTACCCAGATCTCTAGGTAACCCCGATGGCTGGACACTGGAAGGAAATCAATGAAGCATTGACTCAGCCACGATCCTCCATCGAAGTTATGAACAGTTTGAAGAATTCCAAGACGCAAATGCGGCTGCAGGCAATGAACTGCCAACTTGTTCGCTGGTAAATTTTATTGAAGGCTGAATTACCGACGGTCAAATCTTGGAAACCGTGAAACACTAACTGATGGTACTGTCTCCGGTTCCTGGCCCGATCACTTTCATGGTGCTCGACCTGAACATTGACATCTTTGAAGAACTGAGTAGCATTGTGGACTTCGACACAGGACAGTCGTCCAATCTGCCTAAATTTCTATCTTGAAATTAAAGGACCTGAACAGCCTGCCGCGGTAGGCATGCTTACTATGATGGTGCATTCGGTGATCGGTCTGTGCAGCTAGTCATACCGTAATGAGGAATTGGTTTAATATGATAATGCTTATACCATCTCATCAACCCTATCATAATAGCACGCTGAAGCTTATACCTCGCATTCTACACGGCTCAGGAATCCTGGAGGTCATCTGGACTATTTTATGAGCCAGCCCAAGCCTTAGACCATGACTGGTGATACAGAACCTTTCGAGAGGCTGCTACTGCATATCGAGATGCGTGAAATGCGCGAGATTGGGCAAGAGAGAGAAGAAATGACTCTAGTGAAGTAGCAAAGGAACTTCCTACGATTTGATCAGAAGACTTTCTTTTACTAAATCAGTTAGGATTTATTTACAGTCTATACTCCATACTGATAGTGTTTATATTTTTGAACATGTTCTAGAAGAATTCTGGTATAGGAAATACATAAATCCTGACAAATAAAATGTTTTATCTAGAAAAATGTTTAAGTAACAAGGTTAGTTAACTACCTGCTGTACTCCGTACTCTGTACTGCATTTCACCTAAGATATGGAATCAAGAACCACGTAACCCGCAAATTTCAGCTATGGATACATTATTCTTCCTAACAAATATTTCCTTATAATATGGTCTAGTCACACCTTATTGGCTGACAATATCCTTTTCCATATCGCCCTCAGGAACGCTCCTCATGGTGACATCCATTCGCCACCGAACATGGCATCTAGATCCCATTTCACCCGCATTCCGTCTGCCAGCAGTAGCAACGCCTCAACCACGATCGCTGATACCAATCGTCCAATCTCTTCGCGTCCAATTCCTCCCGCCGCGCCTTCCACAGTCCGACGGAACCTTTTTCACGCTCACCTCAGCCGCCGTCAGCACAATTCGTCCACCTCCACTAGCTCTCTAGGAACTTCTCGCAATCGCACCCACACCCGCACAATCTCTGGTAGCGGTGATGGGAGTGGAATGAGCAGCACCTTGGGCGGAGGGATATTAAAATCCCGCCTTATGACGGGTGTATTATCTCTAAATTGCTCGCTTCCAGATGAAGGCGATATCGTCGCGCGGGACAAGAATGGTACCTATAAAGTCGATGTGCCGATTTTACAACCCGGAAGTCTTGGTGAGGGTGCTGGCGATGAGGACGCTGACGAGGTGATGGAGGCTGTTGAAAGCGTTGGACATACTGGACTGGAGCACGACGGAGGTATAAGCTGTGCGGATAAAGAGAGTACATATTTCCCGTTCCTTGGCCTGGTTCCAGCTGGAAGATAGCAATCCTAGGCCAAATAGGGCTTACGGCTAATATATGAACTCGTTTTACAGAAATCGAGGCGAGCATCGCGGAACTAATGCGGCGTAATCGAAGCAGGCAGATGAATAGTGAACCTTCTGGTATGTAATGTCCTCTTTTGCAGATATTACACACATTGAGCGCTTCATGCAGCCTCTCGAGACGAGCCACTAAGATTGAACTCTTGATTATGCTTTATACATCATGCTTTACTAACTAGCACTGTGTAGAGGTGTATTTGCTTATCCAGCAAAGTCTCAAGAATAGAGTCACCTTGCTAGATGAAGACAGGTGGATGTTTGAAATAGAAGATGGAAGCCACACATAAGCACTCACGGCTGCTGCTCCTTTACGCCCCACTCTACTTTTCAGTCACATTTAATCGACAGGGTATCTCCAAGGTCGCATTCCAACCTAATCCAAATCCATGGACACCGGTGGAGCATCAACCTGCTTCGCGGCTTTGGATCGTTGCGGCGTCTTTGACCTATTTCCACCTTGAGGACCTCCGCCAAAGAACATTCCCATCATATCCATTAAAGGATTCGACTGTTTGGGTATCCTTATGCCAAAATAAACCTCCCCGATATGAGCCAACGCCTGGTCCCATTCTCCTGCTTCCTGGATATACGTCGCATAGTGCCTTAGCAACTGCTTGAACGAGTCTGCATTTCCGCGTTGAATAGCCAGCAGCAGCAAACCTGTGAAATTTAGCAGTGGTAGTGATGGATAAACGCGAACGTCATTACTCTGACTGCTCACTTCTTGGACATTGAGGGCATGGCTTGTTGGGGACGATGATAACTGGTTTCTGAAAATCAAAAATGCCTTATTCGCGTTTCGAAAGCTTCCAGTCAGTAGATAAGGGAATACTGCACGAGCTGCATATATTCCTGCTGTGTGCACCGCATCGTGAGTATACCAAGTGTACTCTAGTCGTGCTAGTATCTCCGCCGAGACGGCTGTCCCTAAAGCCAAATGTCGTTCTGCGTCATACACTTCGTTTTCTATTAACGGTATTTAGCATCCCTATGGCAGAGCTGTGGGTAAACAGCAATAAAGACTGCTGAAGCTGGGCTTCATAGGGGGTTTGACCTTCAGCATAGATAGACCCAACAGCATGATGCATCTCTGGGTCGCCTGTTTCAATATCTCCAAACTTTGCACTCCATGCAATCATTTCATTTATATACCTCTTTCTCGTAGGCTCTTCGGGTGGGAACTCTTGCAGAATATCGATTAAACGCTCTATCATCCAACAGTGAGCCAAACCAGGGTCCCAAAGATCACACTTTCGTGACAAACGCTTCAAGAGGACCAGACTAACTTACGTCTTCTCTTATTGCCTACTTCATCGTCAGAAAGCTCCCACTCAGCCTTGTTATACACATCAACCACAAGCATAATCGCGAGATCACCGCCACTAGCGGAGGCACCTTGCTGAGCTCCAGCTTTTAATAGCGCGATCGCGCCCCCAGCAAGTAGTTCGGCAGCGGCATCATAGTTTGATTGTTTCAGGTATCGGGCGGCGATGACACGAAGTTGTTGGTGGGATTCATAGTATGCTCCGGCGGCGATCCTATAGAGAGCAAGTGTTAGGCAATTTAAGTTAGGAGACGCCAACGCGCAGCACGGATACGGGGAAGATCGAAAGGAGCATGAGCTAGAAACAGCATATCCGCAACATCTAACGGTGGTGAGCGTACTTCTCTTGCTGCCGAGCAATTGTCTTGTCGATCCGGGAGGTCATAATGCTGTTGGCCTAGGACGCAGAGGCGATGATCTTATTCAGTCTCCAAACCAAATAACAGCACAAAAAAGATAAGAAGATATAGTTTTTCTTTAATTTTATAACGTCTGTGGCTACAGGCTGAAACCAATAAACATGCGGTCATAGATCGCTGCGGGCTGGTCTTTCATAAGGTGGCCGGATTTAGGTGGGACTGCATTGCGGCCGCGAGTGTGGTCCATGTGAGAGAGCACAGCATTGAGTATTGATTCAGAATTTTAGATTCTTTTGAATTTGCTAAATTCACAGGCGCTGTGGCGGAGTGGTTAACGCGTCACACTTGAAGCTCCTGCTTTAGGATATGTGATCCCTTCGGGGGCCAAGGTTCGAATCCTTGCGGCGTCGTTCTTTTTTTCCCCCCGCTATTTAGTAACTATTTTCCCTGGCCGCGCCAAAATTCCCGAGCTTCCGTCTCTCTATTACAAGCTATATGAGTTCGAAGAAAAGCTACTCTTCAGCTTTCTTTTTCTCTTTCTGTTCTCTTTTTTTCCTTTCTTCATAAACGAATCATGAATTCTCATACTTTTGATATCCACCCTTTGCAGCGATTTGCTGGCTCGAATGCTGCAATCCGACGCCCAAAGGTAAGTTGTTGCGTCTAGGGAATACAGCAGGCGACCCTTTAGCTACTGCTTTCTTAGCGCATTACCTACTAACGCTTCAAAGGAAATCGCATGTTTCTCCTACGACGATGACCATAATTTCCTCCTTGATGAGTCGTCCCTCCGTTATTACTATCCTCCTCGCCTACCCGTGGACCTGAACGGTGGGTTCGAAACCTTCAAAAAGCTCGACGATTCGGCAGATGAACATCTAGATGCGCTACTCGACACCATTATCGCACTAGAGAAGAGCACAGGTGCGAAGTGCGAGGCCGATGTGATAACATGGAGGGGCATGATGACCAAGGTTTGTGAGCTGCTCTGCGGGAATGCATACAACAGCAAGTCTATCGAACGAGAGTGCTGATTCTGATATGGAAGTTAATGACTGCTTCATTTGACAATTGGAACGGGTAATATCATATGTTCCCAGCTATTTCAGAGGCTTGCAAGCTCGGACGCTAAGTGTTGAGAGATTTACAGCTTCGAAATGAATGCTACATACTATCAAGTGGGCAAAATGATTCCCGCATGCTACCCTAGATCATGATTGGGACTGACGATTTATTCATTAAAAAGGGCTCTATGTAAGTTGCACCCGGTTTACCATAGTTCTTTGGCAATTATTAGGGTGTTCTTTGGCATTCGTCTCACGGTGGCTCAGCTTTATCGAAGAGAACAACGAATACAAGAATGCTCAGAAAAAGATACAACTAGAGCAAAGAATGCCACCGGGGGCTCCCTCTCAGGACAGGATGATGTACTGGGGTAGGTTATTTTCCAATGCCAAACGTCTTTCCGAGTCCACATTGACCAACAATGCTGCTAGGTTATAAGTTTGAAACTTTATCGCTCATTGATGAGCCCTGGGACGCCGTGTCACGGGAAACGATCGAGTCGCGAGAACACAAGATTGTGAACAATAATTCCCAATATTGCTCTGTCGTACGTACCGGTATAGGAGGCGTGAAATTGGTCATCGGCGGTGAAGTCGATGCAGGTGAGCTGGTTACCGACCTCCCAGACCCTGTGGGAGCACACGCTCACGAATTCATAACAGTATGGGATTGCAAACCGGACAGAAAAGATGATCCAATAAATTGGGTAGAACTGAAAACATCTGCGGAGATTCGCAATGATAGAGATATGCTAAAATTTGAACGGAAGCTTCTCAAATTTTGGGCGCAATCATTCCTTCTTGGAGTCCCCAAGATAGTTGTTGGGTTTCGAAATGAGCACGGCATTTTGCAACGACTTGAAGAATTTCAAACTCACGAGATTCCCGGATTTGTCAAGAGGCAAGGAAGAGGTAACTGGGATGGAAACATCTGCATCAATTTCACGGCTCAACTACTTGAATGTGAGTTTCTTTGTTCCCATATCGCAAGAGTTTAAGCTCAAAATGTTAATTGAAACTAATGGCATAAGGGATTCGGGGTATAATTAACACCGAAGGTATGTGGAGGATAAGGAGAGTGGAGAAAGCTCCTGTCATTGAGGTTTTTAAGCTGGAGGATTCTGGACACGGTGGAATTTTATCGGATGCTTTCATCGAATGGCGCTCACGGAATTGAACTCGACAACAGATATTTGTATCATTATGTCTCAAATTTTCGTCTTGATACCCATACTATGCGTTTTGGCGTCTTTAGCAATCCTCTTGTGCGAGGCAGTTCCTGTGCAGGTGTCCTTTGAATATCTGTTGGTCTACGCAACACAGTGGCCGAGCTTTTCCGAAATTAGGAAGATCCCACACATCCAGGAAGCCGCTAGGGTTTCTAGCCAGAAGCTTGGACCAGTGATCCCAAAATTTCCGTTGGAAACTTGGCCCGTGATTTGGCTTTTGTTGGGCATCTTACGTCGCAAGACCGAGATGACCAGTATATTCCGTATGTGCTAATTCCTCACTCATCCCTCTGAAGCTCCTCGTATGCGCTTAAAGTACTCCTCCCGTTGCGCTCTCTTTTCCGCAGCCTTGACTGCATTCTTATGCCGTCTTCCTGCCATATGGATCTCCCACTGCCTTTCAGTCATAGCCGCTGCATTGCAGACATCACAGGTCTTGCGTTTGATTTCCATATCATCGCTAGAAGATTGGGCCTCTCGTTTCTTAAGTTCAAACACCTTTCTTGCGATCTCCGATATCTCATTTGGGTGCGGCCGAGGGTTACCAGAGATGAAAGCTTCGGCGACCTTTTCAGCAGGTAAACGAACTGCCCTTTTCCAATCATCCACGTTTGTCGAATCGAGAATATACAAACGGTCAGTAGCGTTAGCTGATTCCAGCGAATTCCACAGTCTGCCTTGGATCCATTTGATCTGGCTACGGGAATATTGTCTGGTGGCTGATTTGACGAATTCAACGCGTTCTTTTTTCAGCCCCTGGAGTTCCTCGGGCGACATCTGGCCGGAAGAGAGAGCACTGATATAAGGATCCAATTCTTTGAATCCGATAGAAACCCAAACGCCCCTGGTCCTATCGATATGAACACCTTCAGACTCTTTTTCCTTAAGGTAATTAAACATATGTTTCGCCTCGCTTAATAAGCCTTGGTCGATCATAGCATCCACTCGATCATCTAGCCTTTGATGAAGGATGTCTCTATCACTATGAACCCAGAAGAGCAGTGTCGGAAATCTCAAATGCCCGGTTTCCCCATCTTCACACACATCGCCACTGGCACGATGCTGTTGTGCGTTAGTGGATGCTAAGAGGCTTTTTAGCCGCATTTTTTGTTGCTTATATATCTCTGATGCTGGTTTTCCAGTATGCAAATATATCTGTAGAGAACGTCGAATCTTTCTTCTCTCGTTCGGATGCCAGCGCGCCGCCATCACAGGATCAACCTCCCGTAGTTTCTGGAGCATTTCTTCCGCTGAGGCATGCAAGATGGGCCACTTTTCGCCCTCTGCAATTTCATCAAACTCTTGATTGGTAATCTCATCTTCATCCTTCCTTCTATCAACGAGTTGTTCGTGGAACAGGACAGACTGGGTATAGTAATGCGTGCCGCCAACAAGTATTGGCAGTTTTCCCCTTGATCTTATTTCTTCAATAAGTTCAAGACAACGTTTTTGGAACTGGCTAACCCTCCACGGCTCCTGGTCTATATCTATACATGCGATCAAATGATGTGGGATTCCGTCCCGTTCCTCGACCGGTATTTGATTAGTTGTTATGGGCAGGCCTTTATACATCTGCATGGCATCTCCATTGATGATTTCCCCATCGAAGCGAACAGCCAAGTCAACTGCCAACTATCAATTGTTTAGTTTTGGGAAAAAAAAGAAATGACGCTTGTAACGGGTCTTGATACCATCCAACTGTATGATATACGGAGGGCATTTGGGTTTGGTGACCAACCTTGGACTTTCCGGTTCCCGTGGCCCCAAGGACTGTGATGAGGGGCTTCATGCGGATTCGTAGTGGAGTTGAGTAGAATCTAACAGGAATGAATGTCCTGAACATGAGTAACTCGATGGTTGATAGACGTCTTCTGCCAATTGCTTTCTCGCGGGTAAAATCGCCGTTGAAAAATCCGCTTACATAAAACGAACAACTGCGTCACTGGAGACACAGCGGAGAGCTTCTTGACTTCCCCGCAATCGAGAAAAGTCGTATTATTTTGCGAAAGCCATTCCCACGTCTCATTCAGTCAATTGTTCAGCCTTAAGGCCACACCAGCTATCGTCTAAGCTATTCCATTTTTTCCAACTGCGGAATAATTTGTGTTTAGTGCCATGGCGTCAGCCACTCCGGATTCATCCGTTCACGTTCACGACCTCAACTACAGCTTTCCCGACGGCACAGCTGGTCTTACAAACATCAATCTTGACCTCCCTCTGGGAAGCCGTACCTTGCTAATTGGAGGTCAGATATGTTCTTCATTCCTCTAATCTTGACCTATCCAGTAGTCAATCGCCGCTAATTGTCCATCTAATAGCGAATGGTGCGGGCAAAAGCACTCTCCTCCGTCTCCTCTCAGGAAAACGTCTCGCTCCAGCTAATACCATAACTGTCGGTGGTGTCGATCCTTTTAAGGAGGGGCTTGAAGGCGTCACATATCTCGGGGTGGAATGGGTCCTGAACCCTATCGTCCGCACAGACATTGATGTTCCCACCCTCCTCGCCTCCGTCGGAGGCGACCACTACCCTGAACGTCGCGATGAATTGGTCGAGATTCTCGACGTAGATCTATCATGGCATATGCACGCTGTTTCTGACGGTGAACGGCGCCGTGTTCAGCTCGCCATGGGTCTACTGCGGCCATGGAATCTGCTCCTGCTGGATGAAATTACTGTTGATCTAGACCTACTCAGTCGGGCCAATTTCCTGGCATTTTTGCGAAGGGAGACGGAAATCCGACCGTGCACTATCTTGTATGCCACTCACATCTTGGATAACCTTGCAAATTGGCCCACTCATCTTGTGCACATGCATATGGGCCAAGTACGAGACTGGGGTGCTATTGAAAAGTTTTACGCCGGAAAACCAAGAGTGTCTGAGAATAGTCAACTTGGTGAGTTGGTTCTAGAATGGCTGAAGAAGGATTTAAAAGAAAGAGGGCCGCGACCCGGAAGGCCGAGTGAGAGTAAAGTGGAACCAGGATATAACATGGAAATATAGGCGGAGTCGGCTGGCATGTGACGGTCAACCCTTTTTAACCTCTTAGCTGGGTTTTCTCAACCCTTAACGGTGAGACGAATTTCCTTCTCTAGTCAATTATCAAATTTTACAAGGGATACACTGTACATTGGTGGATGAGTGAGTTTCTGCTTCAACGCCATAGAAAAATACTTGGTCTAGAGACAACCTATGTAAATACATACTTTTTAACCAAGAAGGGACCCAAAAACGCTGTCTTAACGTGGAACGTCATCAATGTTGTATAGCCGGACCGAAGAATCGTCACTTGCGACAGCAAGCTGGTATGCAGGCTTTTTTTCATTCGAGGCAGATATTGGTCGCCATGCCAATTGCAAAATACCTTTGGATGGGCTTTGATGCTTGGGGATAGTCACCTGCGACCCAGGCGTGAAGCTATCCATAGCAATATCATGAATGCTAACCTCCCCGGAGTCGTCCCCAACAGCCAAAGACAACCTACCATCAAGGACTGTGGGTAGGAAGTCAATCGCGGTAACCGGACGAGCAATGGGGATGCTGGACTTGCACACAAAAGCTGTGCCTTCCTGAGCCCATACTTTAACCGATTTATCTCGGCCAGCAGTTGCAAAAACGCTGGTCGTTGGGTGCGGTGCCCAACTCGCACTAAGTATCATCCGCGAGTGCGCTTTGAGATTCGAACTAAAAGGACGATATAAAGATTTATCCGTGAAATCACGCTCAAAGACAGCCCATTGCCGATCACGTCCGACACTCAAGAGATATCGATCATCATATGAAAAACGAAGAGAGGTTATCGTCAATGAATGCGCCGTGAGTGGCGGGCGTATCTCGCGCCATGTTTGGGTATCGTATAGGCGAATAACTGCGTGATCTATGGAGCTAGCTTTGCACCCAGTGGCGATAAGAGACCGGTCATTAGTAGCTGCAACAGCTGAGATTTCATAGCCGTGACCATATAATTTTTCATGCTCTGGCCATAGCGTGTGTCTGGCTAGATGATCTTCCAGCGGAGGACGATCGGGATCTAACTGAACTGCCTGAAATGGCGCTTCGCCTTCCGTTCCGTTCTCCTCACCCTCACCGTCATGCTCAGCATCAGCATCAGCATCATCCACTGCCTTATTCGAGAGCCCAAGAACCGGAATATTAGCAGCTTCGGCCATGTCTTCTGTGGATGACTGTGCAAAACCGGACAGCCGTTCCAGCAGCTGTGCGATTGATTTCGTCTCATTAAATACCCGCAGAAGTTTCTCGTCGGCACCAGATACGAACCTTGTCGGACCAAGGGAGGCAATGCAGTTCAAATCATATCCGTGAATTTGCGGCCGCGAAAACTCATGCCAGGAATGGTAGCCATTGTGCTTCCAACAAGCATGCAACCTTGTCGTCTGATCCGCGCTTGTGGATAGGAGATATCCACCACTCGGTTCCCAGACAATGTCATTGACAGCTCTCACATGCCCCGTAATGCCTAGTATCTGCACCCATGCATCTGCATCGGTATCGTATCTCCAGGATCTCCAACTACCGGTTCGGCCCAAGCTTATAACAACGTCCCCATTTGGGGACCAAAGCCCAATCCAAAATCCTCCAGCGCTGCCAGTGGCAGTTGTGGATCCCTTCTGGACACTTATTTCTCCCATCCTGGACCCAGAAAACCAGACCCCCGATACTGGATCAGACTCCCATATCACCAAAGAATTATCAGCCGATGAAGACATCAACTGAAGCTTTTGAGGATTTGGATTCCATGAAATAGAATATACCCAATCTTCATGGCCAAAGAGCAAAGCTTCAAATGTGACAGTATAGGTGGTTCCCTCTGCATCAAAGGTATGCGCCTTGTTCGATAAGGCCTGTTCCATGCCTCCCAAAATTGCATCTTCTGCATTTCGTACTGCTGGAATAGCTGCAAGTCCTGGATGCACCCTCCATAAGCGGATATATTTGTCTTGACTGGCTGATGCGAGCAGGAAATCTTGCGATCCCGGCAGATCGGTACTTGTGAAAGCAAGAGCTCTTATCCACCCTTCATGTCCCGTCAAAGTGGCTTTCAACTCAAAGTGGGCCTCATTTATATCTTGCGCAACGTAAATTTGAACAGTGCTTCTCGTACCTCCCACAGCTAGCACGAGCCCTCCGCTGGTAGTACCTGGATTAAGCTTCCTTAACGCCACTGTGAGGGGGAAGAAACGAGGCTTGACCGTGACAGATTCCAGTAGACTAGCTTGTATCCCTTTCCCAGCTTCTTCCGTAATCTTCCAAGCCTTTATCGTTCCATCTGCTGCTCCAGAAACAAAGACATCTGAATTTTCGGCGACGGCGATACAATTGATCGAATTTTCATGCCCTTGTAACGTTGCCGCGAGTGTAAAAGTCAGCGGACTTGACTCGCTAGGCACCCAGATCCTTAGTGTTCGATCAACCGAGCCTGTAATCAACAGCGGACGTTTCGAATCTGCATTTCGTAGCGAGTGAAACTTCACCACATTGACTTTGTCTGTGTGGCCAGCTAAGATAGCGTGCACGCCGCGATTACGTCGGTCCTACCACAAATTAGCTAGGAACAATTCAGGAGCATCTACATATCCATACTGCAGGATCCCAAAGTGCAACATTGTTGTCTGCTCCATATGCGACGAGGCCAGACTGTTTGTGCCAGTCCGCCGCAGCCGGATGTCTATTGCCTCCGACGCAGATATATTCCGTTGTAATGGACACCATGAATGGCTACCGGTAAGGGTAATATTCGAGGAAAAAGGATGCAATAAGGGACTTATGAAACCTTGTGGCCTCTTAACGTGAAGAGGCTTGAGTGTATGGATGTACTCTGTACGGAGTACAGTCGTTTTACTGATGATTGCCCCAAGCCAAGCTTCTGAGCTTATCGATAAGATATTTTCTGCCCCCTCCCTCTCAGAACTGCCTTCAAAAACTACAGCCTCCGGCTCATAATTGACAATCTTGGACGTATTATTTAATTCTTACTCTTTGATAACACCATGGGCTCCCACATGACAGGCGAGAATGGCCAACTAGCCTTGCTTGATATCACAGTGGAATTCACGTTCGTCTCCCAGATCAAAGGCTAACCCCGCAGACCGCAAACCACAGCAAGATGCATTGAAATGCTAACCCATAGCTCTAGTGGAGGGTTAGAAATGCTCTTTTCAAACCAGCGCAAACACAAGATTTCCTTGCCTTCATTAGATATAACCGGTGCTCCGTCCAACATCGCTTATCTTATCAAGTACCTCTGCCAGAATCTGATGAAAGACGAGCGTAAGGAGCTGTTCGTCCTGGATGACTCAGTGTAGGCTGTTTCCTTCAAAATTAAGCTCCCTGATTAATGCTAATATATGGTACTTTACAGACGTCCTGGTATACTCGTGCTTATCAATGATGCGGATTGGGAGCTGGAGGGAGAAGAACAGTATCGAATACAACAAAATGATAATATTCTATTTGTATCGACTCTCCATGGAGGGTAGATTTGGGGGGGGAAAGGCAACAGGGACATATGCTCCTCATCATAGGCGAGGAAAAATCATGGCATATCTTTACATATATAAATGTGACATTAACGGTCCGTTATACGACGTCCTCAACGTGGAGTTGCGAGATCCTTTCTGGGTTGCGTGGCGTCCTCAGCCCACTTTGTGGAGTCCCTCCTCTAGTCAGAGCACCAATGGAGCCATCGGGCATCGGAGAAACAGTGCCACTAGGTGGCACTGGTATTTTGATGTCTTCAGGAGAACCGGGGATTATTTCTGGCGGAAGATTTGGGACATGTATCCTTTTGGCTTCGTTATTATAACTTGCGGGAATAATCTATTTAAGCAGGCGAGTTAATTCCGCATTATTTAGAGAGTTGGGATTCAACCAATTACCTCGATGATTTCATCTCGAGGGAACGACAAGAAGGGGATGTCGGCTGCGTTACACGCCATCAGATAGCCGTACAGCACACGGAGAACGCTCTCGTGCGCGATGATAAGGAGATCGTTTCTCTCACGTTCCAACTCGAGAATAATAGGCTCAAGCCGAACAGCCAGATCATGGTACGACTAAAACATTAGCAAATGCAGCCTCTCCGGGTTAGATCACGCTCACCTCAGCCCTAGGGTAGCGATGATGGTAGGGATCTTCATCGTGCTGTTTTACTTCATCAGGGTATTCCTCCCGGATCCGCCTTTCTGACATTTTTTCACACACTCCCGGGTTTAGCTGGCTCAATTGCGACCTGTGACGCGTTTTAAAGCCTTTTTTATGCAGGTATTGTGCAGTTTCTATTGTCCTGCGCCGTGTTGAAGTCCATACAATAAGTGGTCGTGCTTGTGCTTCTAAATCTCCTTGTTCCAAGGCGACTCGCCTTTCCTCCTCACGGTGTTCAAGAAGTCGTCGGGTCATTTTTTGAGCATATTCCTCCCCCTTCGGAGAAAGGGACGCATCTGCCTTGTAAGAATCCGCTTCGAGAGAAGTTCCAGCCTGCAAAATAATTAGCGGATTTCATAAGTTTACCACCCATTCCATAACAATGACGTACCCGTGCGAAATATGTACGTCTATTTTGGATATGCAGATTCAAAAGATAGAAAACGATACGATGGTGAAGATACCCGAAACTGCAGTTGTTTATCATCATTTTGTCCCCAGCATTAATCATCTGATATTGTCAGCGAAGAATCTAGGATAGGTTTGAGTGTAAAGGGACCAACCTTAATATAATTCAAATCTTTTTCTTCCATAGTCTGAAACTGTGGTATACGGGCCGAAATTCTCGCTAAGTAATCCTTTACAGCGTCTTTAGGATCCCATCCTTTGTACTAGTGCGTCCCTTACATGAGCTTCGTTTAGCAGCTTGGAGTCTTCATCGAGAACTCACATCGGGTGAAGATATTTTTACCCTTTGGACGTTCTCCTCAATTATCCTCTCATTGTCACACCATGATTCAATAAAGAGAGTCTAAACATATTAGTCAAGCCTCGGAGACATTTGGGCACTTTGTAATCTCACTTGAATGCCGTATTTACCAAACTCCTTTGCGAGTGACCTTCTACCTGCTGCGATAGGGTTGACAGCATCATATATGGCAACTTGACCATTTTCATCGCTAAGGAAATGGTATATATCATCTCTGCACTTTTTGACAATTTTTTGTCTCAAAAGAACGGATGAAGCGGATGCTAACAATGCAAGGTAAGCGAATGATCCAGGCTAGCTAGTGATGAAAACAGGATATCGATAATTAAATGAGAAAATCAAGATTCATATAGACCAAGTTGGGTCGGATCGGGGGAATGTTCGGATCGTACACTCGAGTCAGGAGGGGAATTTCACCACACCTTTCACGAAGAAATAGTCCTCAGGGAGATCCTGTCCCGGGACAACTGTGGCACGTCGATAGTCTCCAAGATGGAATATGCGGGTCTTAACACCTAGCCTGTACAGTCACAAAACAAGTCACTGGGTCAGACCGGAATGAAGTCAACACTAGCATAACATGATTCAGGTGAGACATTACACACCAACGCAAATATCTTGCGATAGCCACCGAAATGTGACTGAGAACATACGGTTAGTCATTGGTATATGTAATTAGTGCACGATATACCGACGTTTTGCCTCTGGCGGGTAAGCCAACAGTAATAATGACAATTCGACCAGAGTGGAACAGACGGCCAGACTCTGTACTGTAGAGCTGTGCCGGTGCAATCTCCGGTTTATCCGGAAGATCGTGAATAGCGTCCACGAACGTGCTAGACTTTCGCCGGAATCGAGGCGAGCTGGCGATAACATCCGGATTTCTGATAGCGGTTAGAGCGAGTCCACAGACCGAGCTCATCCAAAGATATAAAGACTAGTCGCTTATTCTAGCGATCACACATATATGACAGGCCGAAAGGACCGCATAGGAAGCAACACCTACAGATGGGTATCCATCGTTGAGACTTAAAAATCGGGCTCCCGGCACGGAACTAAACTCAAAAGCCGGAGGAGGGGGTGCGACTTTCACTTGAGTCCGGCAAAGATCCTGCAGGGTCCAGGACAGGGTCAAGCAAATGCAGGATATAAATGTCTTAAAGCTCCTTGAGCTTCAAGGCAGATAGCAGGAAGAATATAAATAGCCAGACAGGCCGACGGTTACTCTGTTGATGGTCCTTATCGGAGATGCTGATAAGGAATGATGATGTTCAAACTGGATGCACCAGGCATTCAACGGATGCAATTTTAGGCCGCCGGTCTTATATAGTTAATAAGAAAAAGAACAGTTTCCAGACTGTAGATAACGGCATCAAGTGGACGAGTATGCAGGCGACTTGCACGCGCTCTGGGTGAAATGATGGTTATGTGCACGAGAGCAGCCGGCCAGCGGCAGTAGAACACTTCCCAAACCGGTTAGCGACTAGGTCATGTGCCTTGGTGCCGATGATGTAAGCAGCAGGGACGGAGAAAATCTAAAGTTGACCTGCTTTTCGAAAGCTTCAACACCCAGTTGCTGGCTGCAAACCTGCACAACTGCTCGAAAGCGACAACTCCGGGACGCATAGGAGGGATTCAATTTGTTTGGCGTCGACTGGCAGATTCTGGCATTGGATATAGATACAGTCATCTGGCCGGTTCTTTCCTTTAGATTTTCTCTCCTCGATCCTGTCCTCCGAACACCATGGCCGATTTCGGTTCCGCGCTCAATTTTGTCACCGACAACGCGGTGGCTTCGATTCTCAAAGGCGCATACGATGCCTTTTCGGAACGAAGAGAAGCCCTTGGGCTGACGAACCCCGGAACCGTGGAGAATGTTGCCCGTGAAGTGCAGAAGGATGTTTTGCTCTCCAATTTCATGTTCACCGGCCTCCGCGCAGATCTGACAAAGGTCTTTGGCGTTTCTCCGCTTTTCAGAGTCTCGCATGCATTCACAATGGGTTCGCAAGGTAACCTGCCACCCTATGCCTTTTCCTCCATGTTTGGCACTCCCAGCGTAAGTTCCCTTTGACCACCCTTTTACCCACCTACATGGAATCGAGGGACCAAAGCCTGACATCTACCGTAGGTACTTATGCAAGGCAATATCGGCAGTGATGGAGCTCTTAACGCTGTCTGCAATTATCGGTGGACCTCCGCGCTGGTCACTAAAGCCAATGCCCAGATCATGCCGGGGGCAGCCCAGGGACTCATCCAAATCGACAACGACTACACCGGCTCGGATTTCTCTGTCTCCATCAAAGCGTTCAACCCATCATTCCTGGAGGGTGGCCTTACAGGAATATACATTGGAAGCTATTTGCAATCTATTACCCCAGGGTTGGCCCTTGGATTAGAGGCCATGTGGCAGCGTGCAGGACTCAATGCTCGCCCGGAGACGGCCATCTCATACTGTGCCAGATACAAGGGTAGTGATTGGATTGCAAGCGCTCAGTTGCAAGCCCAGGGAGCAATCAATGCGTCGTATTGGAAGAAGCTTTCCGATAAAGTGGAGGCAGGTGTTGACATGAACCTTCAATTTTCCCCAAGTGGCAACCCCATGATGGGTGGTGGCCTTCGAAAAAAAGAAACTACAACCGTTGGGGCAAAATACGAATTCAGAGCATCAACTTTCAGGGCTCAGATTGACAGCTCTGGAAAGTTGGGCTGTCTCTTGGAGAAAAGAGTTGCCATGCCCATCTCTTTGACCTTCGCTGGAGAGATCGACCAAGTCAAGGTTAGTGACCACTTGAGTGAGACCCTTTGAACCGGTCTAAGATATTATTCTAACTTATGCGATAAATAGCAACAAGCGAAAATTGGCCTCGCTGTATCATTCGAGATGGCCTCAGAGGAATTAATGGAGCAGCAGGAAAGTGGTGACATGGCCAACGTCGCAGCACCACCATTTTAATGACGATGACACTCATGACATCCTTCTCACCGCATCACATCCCATCATCCGGGAAACAGGCGCGCTCGTGACCACCTTCAACCTGCCTCTTTATTACATTCAATGCTTTTAATACCGGACTCCTGGTATACCTTCTGGGACGCCCCGGAGGGAAATCCATTTCCCCTTTACTTGTATATCCGTGAGGCGGTCATAACTGGCGCATCGGGATCGATCTTCCTTGTATAGACTACCTCTGTACCGTTGTCTGCATTACATCCCCCCATTCGCCTCGTTCTCCATTCTACCTTTTCCCTTCATTGCTTCCTCTATTTCTGTATTTTTCGACCGTGCCCTGGTGACTGTTTCGTCACGGGCGGCTGTGGGTTTGATTCTGACGGGTTTACTCGGTTCGAAAGCGTTGACGTGATTTATTTTAGAGGAAGGTTCACTTGTAAAATAAAGTCTTGATTATGGCAGCAAAATGGGATTGTGTTTCGACCGTTCTGAGCTGGCGGCCTGGCAGGCATTCAGGGCTCACACAACCTGGTTGGAATCGACGATGCGGATTGGGAAGAAACTAGTTGGCTGAAGGGTTCTAGCAGCTTCGTTAGCGACTGGATCACTTTGAATTCTCAAAAAAGTTGAATCATGGTTGAAGCATATCAATTTCAACAATCTTCTTTAAGTGGTAGCACTAGCACCGAGACGCAGATGTGTATGCCTTGCACATACTTATAATCTCTAGTCGAAAGGAGCCTTCATGAATCATATTTGGTTGGGGGTCTTGAGCCGCTCCAACACACGATGTACGATTCCTCTTTGGGGTGTGCGAGGTGTCCCGTCTTCAAACATTCATACTTAACAGATATTGCTCTCAGTTGACGATAGGAGTTGCCAGCGACACTTGTCAGTCTCCGCTCGCAAACGAAAAGGCCCGGGCATGACTAGCAGAGGTATGACGAGCCTTAGAATCCGCACAGCTGCATCGAAGCTATCCTGCCGGTGCAGGGCTTTTCGCGTTCAAAGGTGTTGGCCCCAACAAACAGTGTAGATTTTGGACTGCAAGATATTAGCCCAGTTCGAAATCCACCGTGGGCCAGGCCCAGGTGTTCGAGCTTTTGCTTGTGATCCAAAGCGCCTTTTCAACTGGTCTTTGGAGAGTCCAACATGGAGTGGCATGATCGCCACAACTAGAGAGGGTGCAGCCACAGGAACCATGTTAACTAATGCGTTCAAGATGGCTTAACTTGTGAACTCGAACTATCGGCCGGGATGAGAAGTGCTCAGTAACTAGTTCCTCCCATAGATAGCTACCAGGCTGGAGTCGAGTTCAATCCGGACTTTTATTTCGAGGAGATGAAGAGCAAGCTCCGCCCCCTGTTCATGGATCGTCATCCGTGACTCGCAAGAAAAAGTGCGGAATACTCGAAATGCCGACCATCCTGCGCCATGAGCTGGCCTATCAGGTCTTGCTTACATCAGTAACTAGTATTTCCGCTGCAGAATAAATACGAAGATTTCCCGCAGGTGCATATCCTCTGGCGCAGATATCAATCCCAACCAGACATGATTAGGGAACCCAGGATACAGAGCTGCACACCCTGAACACAAGGCCGATCGGTATTAAAGGTCAAGCAATTAGGTTACAGCATTTCATAAGGCCATATCTTTGCTGTGCCGTATTACCAAGCAGTCACTGAGCGTGGTCTCTGTAACCAACCCAGCACCGAGGCGCTGCCTAGATAGCCAGAGGTTGGAAAGTGCGCGTCTCCTTTGGCGATCTTTGCCAGTGTCAATGATGGAAAGGGCGGACGAGGGGGAAGGAAGGGATCGTGTGCTTCGTCGCTGTCAACAGCCAGCATCTCAACTTGTAAGGGAAGTGTGCGAGCATTTACCGTCCTCGAGTCAAGTTTGTTTGGGCTTCGTGCTTCCAACAGTCGTTCGGAAATGGCCCCGGGCCTACCTCTCACACTAGGCCGATCAATAATTTCAAGTTCATGCTCCTAAAAGCAGAGTACTCTCTGATAGGAACGCAGAGTGGTCTGCAAAGTAGCTTTTCTGAGGTCGGTCCCGCAGGTTCTATGCACAATTGTGCGGCCTATGCATCATTTGCCCTTTTGAAATATGGAAAAAGAAAGCGAGCTGCGATAAGCATATGCAGCTTTCTTTCCCCTGTCTCCGCTTCATTGTTGGTTCGGACATGTGAAATCAGGAAGTACGTAGATCAGACGGACCAGAGCCCAGCAATCCAGCATGCGGTTAGTCCCTGTGTTTCTCTCCCTCTCTCCCTTTCTTTTCTTCTTTTTTTTTCTTTTTTTCTTTTTTTCTTGGAAGAGCTCGACAGACTGCATGGAATGTGAGCGGCATGGCGCATTTCAACTTGTTCAACCGTCCGGAACACAATGTGCGCGCGAACTCGTGGGGAGAGGACACATTTCATGAGAAAGTCCGTCTCACGTCGGAGTATTAAGTACATACCAAGTACTCCGTATACGATGGCAGTCGGCTCCAGGGTAAGATACATGCAGTGCATTGACTCCGTATTTCTCATCGTCCCCGGTCTCGTCTTGCTCTCAAGCCCAGGGCCATACATATACCCGATGATGTAAGTCTCCTTTTTGGCTTGATACCAGCGGGAATGTGCACGCCTTTGGAAATTCACGCACTGTTCAAATAGTGTGTTAAGCAATGTGCAAGTTACCAAAATACTCCGCTAAATCCCCGTTCCCTGCTTATCACAATTATCCGGGATATAGCTTAATGTAATCCGTTTATATAGATTTGCTTCTGTCATAACAGAGTCCGCGTAAGAGGCTTTATGCTCGAGAAAGCTCGGGGAACGTGAATGAGATATTGGAGCAAAAATAAGAGCACGCCGGCGCACGAGCCTCGCCTTGGTTTGCTAGTGAGTTTTACCCATAGGCGCTAGCCGTGCCCATGGTTAAAACGGCGTGGCGATATATCGGTAGCTCGTCCATATCTAAAGGATCCTGCCTGGGTGACTGAATTTCTCTTAGCATCATCCTTGCCGTGTCCCTGGGTGTCTCCTGGGAGGTTGGCGCGCCAAGGGGTTGTACGCGCTCTAACCCATGCGAGAGCTTCTGCGCAATTCCCGTTTCGGCAGCAGGAGTGGCTCCACCTGCCTTCGGCTGTTCAGCATCCATCACCATCGCTAGAAAATATGTCAGGGCTCGCAAAAAGATGATTGTGAGGGACCGGGCGGGAACGTATGGCTGCAGACTGGTTACACTAGGCGATGCCAAAGATCTGCCCAGCCCAGAAACACCAGGAAAGCTCCGACTCGCGCAGCCCAGAGCTCTTCAGACTACCCACAAGCACAGGGCCGGGGGGCAACGTTGTGGGAGATTTATTCTTAGCGTCGCTGCAAGGGAGGATGATGGCCGCCTCAGTTACCTGGACCCGCCGCTAAGTCCTACGGAGTTATGGACATGGATGCCAGTCATGATCACCTGAGCAGGAGGCGGCGGACCCACCCAGCTAGTGGCTTCCAGCTGATCTGCTGATTCGGCACCTGGTTGCGCCACGCTTTTCCCAAAGCAGATTAACCCGGCTCGGTGGGCAGGAACCTGAAGTCGACTCTCCACAGTCTACGGAGTAGGTGGAGGAGAGAAATCCACATCAGAGGCACACTTTTTCAATTCTCCACGAGGATTCCTGGGGAATGTGAAGTCGTGCCTGAATCCAAAAGGAAGTTTCGGCAAAGGAACCTCCCCGGGATGATACATGGAAACGAAACACGGTAATATTAGGAGTATCACGTCAATATGTCTACGATACTTCGTAGACCGTTGCCTCTTCGAATTTTGAGCCAGTGTTCGGATCGAGGGGCGCCCGGCCACCAGAGCGATGGTTACAATGCGCCGCGCGCCGCGAAAGGGTACCAAGTTACATGCTCTGTCCAAAATCCGCCGAGCTTTCCGCAACTCAAATTGGCTTGGTTTTGGAGTATGTTGTGGCAATAAGCATAGACGTAAGGTGGCGTAATACAAGCTCCATATATTGGTTTTGGAGGGACAACCACGGAAAGTCCCTTGCTAAGGCTACCATGTACCCGGTACCTTTGATAATTAGACACCGCTTGATTCTTGCTGTTCCTGCAGCAACCTCATGGACAAGGCTGCGATGGCTTCAGCACTGAGCACTTTGGGTAAATCGAAATTGACAAAACTCTGTCAAGGTTGAATATCAAGCCCTTGATTCGAGAGCAGCTTCCCCAGCGTTTCGGTTCGCAAATTTCAGGAGGGTATACATACCTGCGGAAGGAGGAGCCGATCCCGATATCACACCGCCCTGGCGCAAGTTTGACTGGTCGTGGCGCTGGTCCATCTGAGCCTGGGAATCTGCTCGACGCAGCTCACGAAAAAAATGAATCAGTCAAGGCACGTGAGTATTTTTAGACATTTCGTCATTTTTGCAAGAAGCGAGTTGTTTTAACGAATCAGAGCTCACTCCTGAGTGTGAAACATAAAAGTCCAAACGTATCCGGACATATGTATGTCTATGTGTGGACGGGCGGGAGGATGTATGGAGTAACGGGAATGTTCCAGCCCCGTCATCGCGCCGTGACCGGCTTAATGAAGGAGTGAGCCGGGATTTGTAAGAAAAAGAAGTTTCCCGCGAGCCGTTTGGCCAATCTGCTCTTTGCAGCGATCTGGCCACCCACCGGTCATCCTCAAACGCTGCACAACTTAAGACGGCAACGTCGATCATGAACTCAGTTCTTAGAAAGAGAGCACTTTCGTCCGTCGAACCCATAGCTTAAAATAGATAGTTATACTTCGTCTTAATTTTGCGAGTGAAAGTCGCGCCCGCTACGGAATACATGCACTGCTAGGCAGAAAATGGATACAAATATTCGTTTGCGGCGGTTGAATATTGTGTAACAGGATAACCCGCGAGCTCGATCCAGGTGAGTAACTGTGGACGGATTGTCCCAAGAGGATCTGCTGAGGAGGTACTGCACACGAAGCGTAGCCTATTAAGATGTCACTGCTCGGAAGTACAGGTCGATAAGCCAGTCGGATGTAATGATCTTTCACAGCTACTGCAGATGTTGTATCTGTGGAGGAGGAATTTATGGTTCTGTTCCTGCATTGGCGCAATAGAAAGCAGTCGAAATAGAATTTGATATTATTATAATTCCAAATTTTGGGACGGGGAGATGTCAAGAACACCAGTGACTTCATGTTTGCTTGGCGATACCGGTGACTGACGATGAAGCCAGCGGTGGATCGGGGAAGCACAGAGCTTCTCTTGTGTGGGCGGGCTTCTCGGGCCCTTGTGTGTATCGTCGCCAAGGAGAGCCGATGAAGCTAGCAACCTACCCCTCCTCATCTGCAAGCGGCTACCCGAGAGGAGAAGGCCCAAATAGTTTGCTGGGAATAGCAAGCGGATTCCAGGCATCACAAGCAGAACTTCTGCATCGCAGTGACGAGAACGACCAGGCAGATGCACCTGTCAGGTTCAATGTTGCCAATGGCCCTGTGCTGGTCGAGTCGTGCGCTCGGCGAATTAATATCCCAACCTACGTATATGTACAGAGCGCACTCCGTACATCTTGTCCTGTGTAGGGTTAGTGGTGAGCGCCGGGCTGGTACGAGCTTTGTTACCTTAGCGCCGTTAGCCAGCAATCGGCGGCCAATCAATGACCAATCCCACGGTTGCCATAGGCCAGCTCCTTGTAAGATTCATTACGGGCGAAAATTGCAATTGGTCACCCGACCAACCAGCATCGCTGTTCATCAGCAGTCGCAACCGCCAACCCTTCTCTCACACCCAGCCTGCGCTCCCATGGATGTTCCTGAGAACTGGAAACTCGACGTCGCCCGCGCACCCGGCATGCTTATTCAGCTACGCAGGTGATCAGCTGAGACGTGTGTACTCCCGGTCTTCACGTCATCGCCTCCCATTCTTTGGGCGTTTTGGAACCTTTTCAGAAGTTATTGGAAGAGAGACTTCGGGGCGGGGGTCATGGTTGAGCTAAAGGTAACTCTGGACGCAACTTGCTGGCCCGAAACTTCTCTGTGCATGCCCCTCCTTGGGCTCAAGCCATGCTGAAACTCTTCGGGCTGCCAGGATTTCACATCAAACACACATACCTCGTCAGCTTGAATTTCAAGTATATATTGGAACTTGGTTTGGGCATTCGAGCCCATTCTTTTTTCTGTTTCAGGAGCCGTGAATGTCCTTGTCGCTCTGCTTGAGTGGCGTTTCGTCAGGCTGAAGCACGTGGACATTGACGTCTTCCAAGCACACACACACTATTTCCACGAACCTTCCCTGCGTAATTACGCGGTAATGCGATGCAGCAGGGAAAATTACGCGCTCCTGTGCTGGGAGGGGGCCAAGTCACTGCCAGGCAACGTTGCTTTCTCGCGAGTCCTGGAATTTGCTCTGGCAGATAGCTCAAAATAGATTGCTGGACGGCGCCGTAGGGGTCCGAAGAGCAGGTAGATTGTGTGGATAGCGTTCCGTTTCTGCGTTGCGGAGGATTCCTGAGGTGCATGCTCCATGACACCAGGCCGTCATGTATCAGCTTGTAATGCAGCCAGATAACTTACATATGTTGTACTCCATAATACAATAAACTGCAGCAAAGACCCCCCTCAAGGAAAAGCAGTTCGCTTTCCGCAAGACTAACCACCGGTCGAGTCTTTGTAGCCACCAACCTTCAGCTCTTTTCCCTACCTTCACCTTCGGGTCCGTCCTTTTTTTATTCTTCCTGGGAACTTTCCATTCTTCACCTCTCCTTCATAACTGTCTCAAGAACAATATTCTCTGTGGTGTGGTGTTTTGAGGCTTAATCTGGTTCCCTGCATACATATCTCCCCCCCTGCCTGTGTCACTGCTTTTGCAGTGTTCCTCCCACTCCGCCTTCCCACACCGTGCTCCATTCTGGTGCTCGTCTCTCCATCAACGTCACCTGCCCTCTCAGACTCCTCTTCTTTTCTTCACTTTTGACACTCACCTTCAGTGAAAGTCCCCTTGTACTCACTCAATTCTCACTTTCTCACCTCTCGCAAGCTTTCGTCTGAGGTCAAAGTGAAGTTCCCTTCACTTTTCGTCGCATCATTCACTGTTGTGTTGTCTAGCCGCTCACTTTTCGTCGCATCTCCTCACTATTTAAGGCATTCACACCACCTTCCTCCCTCCATCCTCCTTTAACCTCTCTGCCAGCCTTCCTCATTCTCGATCTCCGCCAACGTTCCCCCGCCCCTCGATCGAAGATTCTTTCCCTGAACCCTGTCCTCTTCCAAGACGGACCCTACACCTGAGCCTACGCTCCACCTCTCTGCTTGACTTCTCCAGCCGTTCTCCGCTGTAGCCAGATTTGGACAGCGTCGTCTACCTACGGGTTCCGTTTCTGCCTGCAATGTCACAGAATCGGCCCAGCATGTTTTCAAGCTTGCGTATGGGGGGTAAGTCGTTTCTGCTCCGTAGTCGATCCCACATTTCGAATTGAACTGACTGAGAAATTTTCGGCTGTTGCAGAGGTCATTCGCGAGAAAGTTCAGGATGGCGTGACTGGCGAAACTCGGGAGATGCAGTATACACAGTGCAAGATTGTTGGCAATGGTTCCTTTGGAGTTGTCTTTCAGACCAAGCTCTCTCCAGGCGGAGAGGATGCTGCCATTAAGCGTGTTCTCCAGGACAAACGTTTCAAGGTTGGTCGTGCCCTTCTTCGTTACGCCCGCTGCAAATATTGAAGCTAAAGTCCATCAGAACCGTGAGCTGCAGATTATGCGCATTGTTCGTCACCCGAATATCGTCGAACTCAAGGCATTCTACTATTCCAACGGAGATAGGGTAAGTCTAGTCACTGTCCTTAATTCTTTCAAGTTTGCGGCAACTGACTGGAAACCCCGATCCATCCGCAGAAAGATGAAGTTTACCTGAATTTGGTCCTCGAATTTGTGCCTGAAACCGTCTATCGTGCATCTCGTTACTTTAACAAGATGAAAACCACTATGCCTATGCTTGAAGTCAAGCTTTACACTTACCAGCTTTTCCGAGCTCTCGCATACATCCACTCACAGGGTATCTGCCACCGTGACATTAAACCTCAGAACCTCCTTCTCGACCCTAGTACCGGCGTGCTCAAGCTTTGCGATTTTGGGAGCGCCAAGATTCTTGTTGAGAATGAGCCCAATGTTTCATACATCTGCTCACGTTACTATCGTGCACCGGAACTGATCTTTGGAGCAACTAACTACACCACTCAGATCGGTATTTCACCTTGGTGTTCTTCGATTCCCTTTTTCCACTTGTAATCGCTAATCAGAATATAGACGTTTGGTCCACTGGATGTGTCATGGCAGAATTGATGTTGGGCCAGCCGTTGTTCCCCGGTGAATCCGGTATCGATCAGCTCGTTGAGATTATCAAAGTTCTCGGTACTCCGACCCGTGAGCAGATTAAGACCATGAACCCGAATTATATGGAACACAAATTTCCGCAGATTAAACCTCATCCCTTCAACAAGGTATGCAGCGCAACGTCAGCTTTTAGCGTTCTATTTACTAACGAAACCACCGTGAAGGTCTTCCGCAAGGCTTCACCTGAGGCTATTGATTTGATCACTGCTCTCCTTGAATATACCCCGACCCAGCGTCTTTCCGCCATCGAGGCTATGTGCCACCCGTTCTTCGATGAATTGAGGGACCCGAATACTCGCTTGCCGGATTCACGCCACCCAAGTGCTTCTGCCCGTGAATTGCCCAAGCTTTTTAACTTCACTCACCATGGTAAGTCAAATAACTCCGCCAAATACACATCGCGAGCTGACGTGTTCTCTAGAGCTGTCCATTTCTCCTTCATTGAACCATAAGCTGGTGCCTCCTCATGCAAAATCCGAACTTTTTTCCCGCGGTATTGATATTGATAATTTCATTCCGCTCAAAAAGGAAGAAATGATGGCACGCCTTGACTGAATTAAAACTTCAGCTCATGAACCACAAACTCTATTCTTGTTTGCTGGAAGTGACAAATGCTCGTCTCGAAGTCTTTCTCTCTTGACATGACTTTGGAGTTTTCAAGCTTATGCATCGAACGGTTCTTTTCTTCAAAACAGAAATTTAAAAACACCAAAAATCCCCTCGAGTTATCGTCTAGACCTTCGCTGCATGAAAACCTCGAACCTAAAATGCTTTACAATCATGCCATTCATGGTTTTGATGGTGCCAAGCGGCAATGAATCAATGATTTCCTTTTTCTGATCATGATATGGTGAACGCGTGATACCATGGAGTTATCGGACAGGTCGGTGGGGTCTTGAAATCATATTTCCGGAAATTGCAAGTGAATAGGGACATGTTATGCCTGCTGAAACTTTTTTCTTTTTCATTTTTCTTACTTATTAACCAAGGTGTCTCAATGATAGGCGTGGTGGGGGGGAGGGTAGCCGAGAGTGACAGGATGGCTTTGCGAGAAGATTGAGTAAACGGGTAAAAGCAAAGCGAGACAGCCTGAGTTTGGGGATGACGTGTATTTTTTTTGTCGATATTCGCATTCGACGACGGCCTCCATATCCATGGACTATCATTGAATCCAGATACCTGCATTTCTTGTCTCTGTCAATCCTCAAAGTCCTTTGACCTTGCCTGAACCAGTGGTATTTATCATTTCCCACTATTTCCACCTTTCTCTCAACCCTTAACACACCACTCCGGGCTAACCGATCCTTTGACCTTGAACCGACCCCCTACTTTGTCACTACTTTCCATTCCCATTTTCATGTCTTACTACCTGAGAATTTGCAGCGTGGCGCATTCATGGTTTTTGCAATAGGGAGCTCTGTTTTATTCTGAATCCATGATGCTTGCATAGTTATATAGGTATTATAGCACCTGTCTTATACTACAAAGCACATTTTCTGAAATTTGGATTTTCCAGCTCACAGGAAGTACAGTAGATATGGACATGTTTTATCACTGCTGTCAAGTCCTTTTAAGATCGTCGTGCCGGATATCATTTTAAGTTCACACGTGATGTCGGATAAATGTAATAGCGAGCCGCCGCCCGGCATTGGAAATGCCCCCATTCACCAGCTAACTGCAAACCTCATCTGATTGGGTGAGCTCTTTGGTTTGAGAGAGTCTGGAGTTCTGACAAGCACCCCAGTCGTCGCTTGGTGCAGACGCCGGAAATCGAATCGACCTCTCTGTGCAATTGACCGCTCAAGCTCGAGAGTAACTATATCCTCCTATCAAATGCCCCTGGCGTGAGGCAGGCAAAGCGGCAGGTAGTTAGAACTTTTGCAGTAGGTTTGGTTGCGGGAGCTCCTTTTTCTTTTTTTTTTTTTGTTCCTGTTGTCTCTTGGGGTTTGTGTTACTTGCCGCGTGGTGGGGACGAAATGCGGTATTGAGGTGCTCCATTAAGTGTTTGGATATGTTGCTGATTACTTGGATTGGTGATAGATATTCAACTACTGGATTAAAGGGTTTGACTGCGTTGGCGCACCGTTTATCGCACTGAAGGCTTTCCAGGCTATCAGTGAGATCGCGGGAGAGCGAGGTGTTTTCGCTTTCGCGCCGTCGGAAACGTGTGAAGTACTCGCGCTCTAGTGAAAAAAAAACGAGTTCTACAAATCACTACCATTTCTCGAGTTTGACCCTCTTTTTTGGCCATTGCTGTGAGGGCGTAGCTGTAGAAGCGATGGTGGACCACGAAGCGCGTCGGCCAGCGGGAGGATTTAACCGCAAAAGGCGGTACAGAGGTGCGTCTCTTGTCTATGGCTTATGTGCCTGCTTCCATCGCTCGTAGTGGTGGAGAATATACGTGTTAGGAGCTGGAGACTTATGAATTGAGCAGAGGATGAAGGAGGGGAGCGCCATCGACCGCGACGGCGATACGAGGAGCCGCTGTCTGCGTCAGTTAGGAGACAGCTTTTGACAATCGCGGAGTCGGTGAGTCGTTTTGCCCTAGGTGCATTCCTTGGGATCCAAGGTGTCTGCGGGGAGTGCTAACTTTCCTTGTGCGAATATAGGCCGTACGAAGAGTCGAAGACGATGTGGCCAAGATCGCAAACACTATCTGCGAACATTCTGAAGATGAAGAGGTGCAAAATGATTTCCAGGATTTGGTGTTGCAATTGTGAGCATTTTTTCGTCAGGACCTGGGTTGCTATTGCGACCGAAAGCTGACCATATTGATTTGGCCATAGGGTTATCGAACAGCCCTTTAAAATTCCCTTCGTTGCGGCGGTAGTCCTCCTGATCAACGCTCAAAAGTCTGAAATCGCTAGCCGGGCCTTCACCAAAGCTGGCGAAATGGCCCAGTCCTATATTGCTGCTGGCGAGTGGCGCGAAGTGAAACTTGTCCTTCGCTTTCTTGGCTGCCTTCAGGGCGCTTTCGAAGGGGATGGTATCTTCCCAATACTGGAAGAGCTTTTTTCTCGGGCTGTTGACTTGCAGACAGCGTCTTCTGATGATGTACGTATCCTCAAAGGCTACAACGGATGGGAGGGGTTTTACTAACGTATTCATAAAAACAGTCTCTCGGCCTTGAGCTTGTTAAGATTATTCTATACACGATATCCTATGTTATGGGGTCCTCAGCATCGGGGTTCGAATCCCATGCATCCGCGCTCTTGGAGAAGACGGATATCATCGCCTCGACACCGCATACGCTAGAGGCTCTCGTGGATCCTTTCCCATCGGAAGAAAAAACGGAGGAAGAGAGATTGAGCGCACTGGGCCTACTTCAAAAACAACTTCAGAACGAAGCTAAGAATTCTTGGGAACTTGCGTGCCTTCCCCGACCATGGAAGATGCCACCCAAGGAGGAGGACAACTCTGACAGAGACCCTCTCAAAAACGCCACCAAGCATCCCTTCCCGAGCATCTCTATTCCCGACCCAGTGAAGAACGGCCCACGGGCAATATTCCCTGAGATTTTCCTTTCGGTTTATGCTGACCAGAATATTGAGACCGTCCCTCCGACTACGGATATCGCCTCTTCCTTGATTAGAGATGTGTTGGTTGACACAATCAACATCCTCGACTACAACCGAATTGCCGCAGCCAAGTTTCTGATTGACGTTGACTGCTATTTCGCACCAACCACGTTCATCAAGCGTGCTACTCCCTTTGATAAATTGCGTGATGTAGCTCCGGATAAGCCGACCTGGAAGCCAGAGGATGTCGCGCTTGATGCGGTATTTTCTCAACTATTACAGCTGCCTTCGCCTGAACATAAGCAGGTATATTACCACTCCGTCTTGACTGAAGCTTGCAAAATTGCCCCGGCAGCCATTGCGCCAAGCCTGGGTCGAGCAATTCGATTCCTTTACCGCAATGTGGACAAACTAGATCTAGCTCCTACATACAGATTTCTTGATTGGTTCTCTCATCATCTGAGCAATTTCGGTTTCACTTGGAAGTGGACTGAGTGGTGAGTATATTAACCCTTCGATCTTTCAACCAATAGACCATTCGGGAATCTGACACCCTATAGGGTCGATGACGTTGAATTGCCAGCCGTGCATCCAAAGAAGGCTTTCATTATTGGCGCCTTGGATAAAGAGATCCGTTTGAGCTTCGCTCAGCGCATCAAGGGAACTATCCCGGAGCCGTACCAGGCTTTGATTTCTGAAAATAAGGAGAAGGATACTCCTGATTTCAAATACGCACAAGAGAGTACGTCTAACAGCTGTTACTAATTCACGGCAATGAGATACTAATGGAACACACAGCTACCCCGTATTCAAAAGAGGGCCAGGAAATTCTCCAACTCATCCGTAAAAAGGCGTCGGACGAAGAAATTGCCCCTGTCATCGCCTCTATCGAGGAGCAAGCCAAGGCCCATGGAATCGCTGACCCATCAATCCCGTCAACGGACGCCTTTGTCACATCCATTTGCTGCGTCGGCTCCAAATCGTTATCTCATCTTCTTTCCTCCATTGAACGATGCAAAGAGAGACTACTTGCCATTGGCCCCAGATCTGCAGCTGCCCGCCGCCAAATAATCACTTCTGTGATGGAATACTGGGTCGACCAGCCCGGAAATGCGGTGAATATCGTAGACAAGCTCCTCAATTATACCATCCTTACGCCTCTATCGGTCATCGAGTGGGCTCTCGTCGATAATCTTGCTGCTGGCAGTATTCTCGCCAAACCCCACATTTTCGAAATGATCTCCGCCACCATGGGCAAGGTTACGAACCGCATCCGACAGATTGTGGCTGCCCGCACTCAGCCGACGCTCGTGGAACCACAACTCAGCGTGATACAAGATGCGTTGACGAGGGAGAGCGCAGACATGAGAGCAATGTTTCGACTTATCGACGACTCTATTGTGCCCGTTGCTAGCGGAACAAACGATGTGATGATGGAGCGCGATGATGATAGTGCGTTGGCTCCGGAGAATGAGCTTATTCGTGAGTGGGGGAAAAGGTGGCTGAGAGTGTTTAGGCGGAAGGCTGCTGTGGAGGACGCGTTTATCACTGAGGCGATGGTTAATGCGGTGCCTGTAGGGACGATGCCGCCACCACAGCCGCAACCGCAGCCGGTACAGACTGCTATGGAAACCCATGGAGCGGATGGACAGAATGAGATGACCGATATTCAGTAGAAAGCAGTGAAGCACAGGGATCGATGCTTGATGGTGAAATGTATTTTTAAAACAGGTTGATTTGTGGCTACTAATCTGCAGTTTCGAGGGCTGTTAATTACTCAATCTTTCTGTTATCTTTTCCTTGGGTTTGTAATACCTATCCTTGCTATTCTACTGCAGTTTTTGAAAGTGGACTTTGGCTGGATGCCTCCCAATATGTGACTATATGTCACAGTACCGGACACTTCATGGCAGGCACTTCCAGCGAGGAAATTTTGGTCTTCACCTAGCTATGGACCATTATTCATTATGTTCAGCTGTGATATCCTAACCTTTCACAACCATAAATTGCATTGACGCGCGAACAGTGGACTTTCCCAAACCCCAAGCAAATGACTCACAAACTCATCAAGAGGATCTCTATCAGCAACAGTACATTATAGTTACTCTGTAGCTGAAGGAGAATGCTTTATGGTATTGACCATCATTACTATGGAAACATGGTTTCCAATTCAGTGATGTCGAACACTCTACATAGCCTGAAGATTGTCTTTTGAGCACCTCTAAGGCATTCCTATGTTCTTTGCGCATAGTCTACAATGAAAACACTAGGCCTTTTCTATTTTTACTTTTATTTTTATTTTATTTTATTTTATTTTTTTGTAATCGGATGAATCCTCCTATCGAGTACCATGTGAACACATATAGTATAGAGCCGTCTTCGGTATGCGCATAGAGTGAGATCCACCATCGACCGTTGACGAATTGAAAGGAGTTCATGAGGAGCGGACTCCCTCAAAGAAATTAGCGAATTACACCTTATTGGATACGCGATGTATGTACGAGGCCATCATTTGATACTTAGAAAAGATGTTGATATTACAAAGTTTCATATATAACAACGTAGATACACAGACAGGAAATAAGAATACAAATGGTAGTGCAACTGCCGGGAGAAAAAGAGAATTAACAGGCAGGCATGTTTGGGAATAAAAATGTTAGTAACAAAACCCATCCCCGCCTCTAAAGATAAAACGCTCGGTTGTACACATCGGGAGGGCAGGGATTGATATTTCAGTGCTACCCAGGAATCCAACCAAAGTGCGACAATATGGTCAGGCGCTCAAGGACGAATCCGAACGAGGAATTATTAGAAGATAATTCAAAAGAACCCCAAAAAATATTCGAGACTTCCTTGGCGGAAGTATTCGCAGGGGTAAGAGCCTGCATGAAGGAGAGAAATGTTCGCTTTCGGAGAGTAAAGTGCTAGCCGGCAGTCGACATTGTCAGATGTTTCGTTTGTTGGTCATAATTCGTCCCACCTACATGCATGGAGTAAGACGTATTTATTATCCACGCACGCGATCAAGGGCCATATCGTCGGTGTCATCTGGCCGGCAGATTTACAGATTCTTCTTGTCCTCTTCTTCGTGTAGGTACTGGCGATCATCATCGCCTTCAACCTCCTTCACGAGGGTTTCCATCTCTTGGACCTGTCGCTTCCACTCTTCCTCTCCCATCTTAGTTTCACGGCGGAATAGCTCATCGTTTGGCTTACGATAGCTGCTACCGAGTCTATCCCAGAGGGTAGTAAATTGGCCATAGTTGTAGTTGAAATATAGATGATGCATGGTGTGGCAGGCGGCCCCGTTGATGACTGGATTGTTGCTCGCGTATTCACCATCGTGGATGAGAATAGTCCAGACGTTGATTGCCATGAAGAGGAATACGTACGCGAATTTCTGCAGCGGGAAGATGAATGGGAAGATATGATACGGCAAGCTTTGCGCCCAGCCGTCGACCGGATGGAAAGCATGCGAAGCAAACGGGGTTGGCATGATCCACTTGTGGTGTGGCTTGTGCAGGCGCTTGTAAACGAGCGGATGGTGCAAGCCGCGGTGGATCCAGTAGATCAGGCCATCGGTGAACATGAAGAAGAGGGGAAATTGAAGGATATTGTACAGCTGGAAGGGGGCCTCGGCGAAAGTATCGTATATCTTTCCGTAACCCCGCACTTCTGCAAGGAAAAAGGGTACAGTCAATATCGCCATGACGGGCAACGCTCTAGAGGTTTGTGCAATTTCTTGCCGAATCTGATTTTTGAGATATTTTGGATGATTGACGGTTGTTTTATCGAAAACTAGAACGTAAGAAAGAGTCGCAAAAATGAAATATACGGCAAGACCGAAGACCCTATGTGTCACATCATCAGTAAACAAGAACCAGGATCGAGTGCCGCAATCCAACAAATAATTCGTACCAAGTGATGATGAAAAGAGAGAAGCCCTGTCTGTACACATTGTCTCGCTGTAGCGCGCTCATATACGCGTATTTCGACGGCTCGAGATACAAGTATTGCGAGGCGGGACGATAAAAGAAACCACCAGCAGCTGACGCGGTTTTATTTAGGCCATCGGGGATCTGCGAATAGGCCAGCGGACCTAGCTGCGATGCTGGTGCGGCCAGAGCGTATAGATAATCAAATAAAAATGTGTCGAGAACCTCAAGCACGACGTCCATGGCTAGAGATGTCCGTGATAATTCTTTCGTGAACTCACAAGTGGTGGTTCATAGATCCAACCGATAAAGGGAGCGACAAGGTACCGATTCTGGGTCAGGACGATCGATTCGCACCCACAGCCGGCTAAAAGGGATAAGTATGAGAGATTGCCGAGAAATTGAGTATCTCGGGGGCGTCGTCGTGATGCTGGAGGAGGAGTAGAGAATGATGAGCCAGGCAAAAGGAGTCCCAGTGGCTTTTTAATAATATTATTTTCCAATCCGTGACAATCTGATAAGCTCGCTCGCGACTCCACCGCCGGCGCACGCCAAAAGAGAATGACCTTTTTGGGTTTAGCACGGGTAATCAGACGAGGCCGGGAAGTTCGCTGCCGTTAACTCCGGTCGGTACTTCGTATTACGTGCTTAGTCAGGGGCTTGGCAGGGATTCCGTCCTTATCTGATCGCCGCGTCGTCTTCCTCGCTGGCACAGTTACGCAGGCCGCTGGACCTGGGACTACGCGGTCATTGCAGTTGATATGCTTTTGAGCTGCTTTGACGGGGTAATTGAACCTGTAAGAATAACCAAGTCCTGTAGTCTACTGCTCATTTCAACGGAGTCATCGGATCCTGATCCCAGGTTTGCGTTTGATCCAACGCTAACCCGGTAAAACAGGGATAACCCCCATGAGTCGATAACCACTCCGCATATTGTCCATTCTCCCAGACTGCCGGCATGAGCTCCGCCATTTCGGTTACGTATATGGGTGCAGTGAGTCTTGATAGAATTCACCGGCCCTTGAATTCACCCCATGGTTTGACGCCCCAAAGTGATGTGATGTACTTCGTCCTCCATATGTAACTCGTTCCGGCTTTCCCCACCAGTCGGGTTTCACTTCACTAAACCACAGACACCTAGAGTCTAGGGCCCAATTTTGCTACAAATAAATACGAAGGCGAGAGGGGTCTTTGGGCTTTTCTTCTACCCATCTCACCATCATGTGGAAAAGCTTTCAATGCTGCTACAATTCGCCTCCATTCCTTGGGTGTCCAAGTACTTGACCCTCGCTTCAAACTGGTCCGATTGCTCTCTCATTGGCTGCAAACAAACGACCCCAGCTTGTCTCGGCATGCTTAACTCAACCTCAAGACTCACGAGTCGAACTGGGTTGAATGCAACAAATTGCGCGCTTATACGGAGTACTCTATCATGAAAACAGCAGAGTTAAGATATATCTAACTGTGCTGCTAACTCTAGAACTCGTTATTACAAAAGTTTCAGCATGAGATTACGCTAAAAATCCTCTTCCCTACTTGGACTTAGATTTAACATTCCTACAATTTACTTGTTGAAGTGAGCTCTATTTTTTTGACACCAAATCTTCCTTGCCTTTGTTTTCCTCGATTCATAGACCTTTCTGAATGAAGGTAAAGTGGGGAACTAATGAAAAAAGACTTTAATATCAAATGGAACTGGGACTTCCATTCCATCTTCCTGCTTCCCAGGGCTGTGTTCACCTCTGAAATATATGATGGTGAATACAATATGTACTACCATCACCGGCGTTTGATAGGTGGCCAAGAAAAGTATGGATGGCTACACACTGTGTACCGCAGCATTGGCTAACAGCTTATGCAATTATCCTAGTGCCCTTAGCGACTGTATCAAATGGGTTTTTTACATTCTTTCAGTGGCACGACAGGTGCTAGCCATCTCTATGGGTCAAATTCCTCCATAGCATGTGCTCCCTGGTTTTCGCTAGGTTCAGTGTTGTATTGGCAGCATCTGGGTTTGGCAACACTGGGTCGAAGCTAGAAGACCGCCTTAAATTGTTTCTTCTGCGGGCTCAGTATTGACTTTACTGTTGAGCAAGCATCGAATCTGGCATGGAAAACTAACTTTAAGCCCTTCGTATTAGGAATTCAACACCATTATACTAGATGCGCCAAATCTAAGCGCATGATCATTGTGATCCTTGGAGATGGACCTATTCGACTGGTTGTAAGAAGCCTAGCCGCTAGCTAGCAGTTGTGGAGAGCACAGAGGCTGATGTCGGGAATATTCTCTACCAGCATTGTGCCCTATTTGTTTCCCAGCCCATCTTGACAGGCCCTGCTCTAGAAAGGGCAGAGGGTCAGAGGCCGGCATGAACTGCGCTGGTGATAAGAAATGTTGTCTTCTGATTCTGGTATGCATCTGTCAAGAACACCTTGACGGAAGAAATGACAAGCAAATTAGGCAAGCTTGCCAAAGAATCTTGTGGGATATCAAGAAGAATGGCATGGAATCTCGGGGCTTCTGTTGTTGTTAATGTTGGATCTGATGAATTCGATCCAGATATTCTTGATATCTTAATACTCTTGCGAGTCTTCGGGCTGAACAAAAGAGCCCACAGAATATATATTCTGCTCTCTCGAGGTAAGCTTATACAAACAATACTAGATAATAGAAACATGTATCCTAATACATGTGCCTAAAAAACTGATGGAAATCTAGAACTTCGCAAGGGGTTAAAATCAAAGGGTTTAACTCTGATTGTAAATAACGGCATGCTATACACATAGCATATAGGGTAACGCTGATACTGTGCTTGAATTAACCATCAGATTCAGCTGACATTTGTCGTCTGGTCTT